ATATATCACAGGCAGAAATTACGTAAGGGGGTGCCTTTGACCTCCCACTTCCACTGAAGTTCTTGATAAATATATTGACACATGTTTATATGAAAAAGAATGATGATAGGAATGTTTTGGAGATTCCAGCTAGTGGGTCAGGTGGTTTTTCGGGACGACAACGAAGCAGGCATCTTGCTGTACAGCTGATCCTGAATACGCTCTTTTCGCTGCCGTAAGCTGCTCTCATCTTTTGTTCGCGTTGCACTGTGACACTGGTAGAGGTGCTGGGCCGCGACGCTGCCCGATGCTTCACACTCCTAGTGGGAGCCGCTCATCCAGCCCGGACGTGCCTACTGCAATCCCTGTCCGTCGATTCAGTCGTCGGCTACGAGGTATTCCTCCAGACTGCAAGCCCTCGCAGAAAACCTCTACCAGACATCTAGAAATGGCTAACAGCAGCCCCCAGGGTGTACTTCTCGGCACCAGTCCTCCCGCTCCATCCCAGGTAACGTTTTTTCAATCGCTGGAGCCTAAACGCTTTGATGGTGGCGCACACGAAGATGTAGAAGACTGGTTAGACCACTATGACCGTGTTGCGAAGGATCAACCAGTGGTCTGCTCAGGAAAAGGTCGGCCGGGCCTACTTCTATCTCGATGACAGCGCTCGTACTTGGTACAAGAATAGAGAAGGCAACCTGTTCACATGGACCGACTTTCACCAGAAGATGGTTGAAACTTTTGCCAATGTCGACAGACGTGACCGCGCCCACCAACTACTAGAGCTAAGGGTCTAAAAACCCAATGAAACGGTCGCCATGTTCGCCGAAGACATGACACGTTTATTTCGGAGGGCTGACCCGCAGATGACCGAAGATAGGAAGTTGCGCTACCTTATGTGTGGCGTGAAAGAGCAGCTGTTCGCCGGACTTCTGCGCAACCCGCCAAGCACTGTAGAGAACTTCATCGAAGAAGCGTCGGCTATCGAGCGGGCCCTTCACCAACGCTGCCGACAATATGACCACTTGTGCAGCAGCCCCCAAATTCAGGCCGTCGCTGTGACGTTTGACAGTCATAGCTCCTTACGTGACATGATTAGAGAGATTGTTCGTGAAGAACTGCAAAGGCTGCGGACTCCGGTAGTGGATACACCCATGGCATCTGTCGCTCAAGTCGTCCGTGATGAAATCCGCCAAGCATTCTCGACAGCTGATCCTGCCCCCGAACAACATCCCATGACGTACGCCGCCGCCTTTCGAAGCTCCCCACCCGCCTACTATTGCCAGTTCATCCCCAACTTCGCACGGATTGCGTCGCTGTTAACTCGCCTCACTAGAGACGACGCCACCTTTGAGTGGAACCACAAACAGCAAGCAGCGTTTAATGACCTCCGCCAACATCTTCAAACATCTCCAGTGCTTGCTCACTTCGACGAGCAAGCGCCAACAATGCTTCACACTGACGCAAGCAATGTAGGCCTCAGAGCTGTGCTTGTGCAGTGGCAAGAAGACACTGAACGAGTGATTGCCTACGCGAGCAGGACGCTAACACGCGCTGAGGCCAATTATTCAACAACTGAGAAAGAATGCCTCGCCGTGGTCTGGGCAGTTATGAAATTTCGCCCGTATTTGTATGGCTGCCCTTTCAAAGTTATAAGTGACCATCATTCACTCTGTTGGTTGACTAATTTAAGAGATCCAACCGGCCGATTAGCACGGTGGAGTCTGAAGTTACAAGAGTTGATATGACGGTCATACACAAGTCTGGGAAGCGCCATACGGACGCCGACTTCCTGTCTTGATCACCAGTACAGTCAGCTTCCCTTTCTGACGACGACAATATGGCCTTCCTTGGTGTTCTCGACGCGTCCACGATTGCCCTGCAAAAACGAAGTGACACTGAATTGCTTGATTTGATTAATTACGTGGACGGACGTTCTTCGAGGGCACCTAAAGTCTTTGTATGGACATTATCGTCGTTTTGCTTACGCAATAGCGACCTCTACAAAAGAAACTTTTCATCCATCGGAGCTCCCTATTTGCTCGTTATTCCTGCACCCCTTCGAACTGAAGTACTCCAAGCATGTCACAATGAGCCGACGTCTGGCCATTTAGGCTACACTCGCACATTGGCAAGAGTACAGCTGGGATACTACTGGCCACGACTCACAACAGTCGTCAAGCACCACATTCACACTTGCCTTGATTGCCAGCGACGCAAGTCACCTCCAAAGAGACCCGCCGGTCACCTGCAACCAGTTCAGGTTCCACGTACACCGTTTGAACAGATAGGAATGGATATTTTGGGACCCCTTCCTACTTCTACTGCAGGGAATTGCTGGGTTATAGTCGCAACAGACTACCTAACCAGGTATGCCGAAACAAAAGCTGTCCAAACGAGCACCGCAGTGGAAGTGGCGAGATTTTTCGTAGAAAATATTGTGCTACGCCACAATGCTCCGACTATCGTGATCACAGACCGCGGAACAGCATTTACGGCAGCTCTTTTAGACCACGTCCTGATGCTTAGTGGAACGACTCACTGTAAGACCACTGTGTACCACCCGCAAACGAATGGACTAACGGAGCGCCTCAACAAGACGATTGAAGACATGCTGTCGATGTACGTGGATGTCCAACATACAAATTGGGACGAAATTTTACCCTATATCACGTTCGCATACAATACGGCTAAACAAGAGACGACTCGCATGACTCCATTCAGCTTGGTTCACGGACAGGAGGTATGGACTATGCTGGATGCGATGTTGCCACATGAATGGGACGCTACCGATACAGGCGCTGACGTGTTCACTGAATGCGCGGAATAAGCTAGGCAGCTCGCCCGCTTACGGATCCACCAGCGACAAGACTACGACGCAGGCCACTACAATGCTCGCCATAGAACTGTAACGTACAAAATCGGTGACAGAGTGTGAGTTTGGACACCTGTACGAAAACGTGGACTGTCCGAGAAGCTGCTAAGGCGATATTTCTGGCCATACTGAGTATCGCGCCAGCTAAGTGACGTCACCTACGAGGTCGTCTCCGACAGTCCCCAATGCCCGAGGCGTCGCCAGCATCCAGCCTGAACTTGTTCATGTAGTGCGTATGAAGCCGTATGCGAGTGACTGACTGCACGTTAAAAAAAAGTACTGTGGGTCTGAATCAGCATCGGGGCGATGCTCTTATAAGGAGGGGCAAGTGACACGTGTTTGTATGAAAAAGAATGATGATAGGAATGTTTTGTAGATTCCAGCTAGTGGGTCAGGTGGTTTTTCGGGACGACAACGAAGCAGGCATCTTGCTGTACAACTGATCCTGAATACGCTCTTTTCGCTGCCGTAAGCTCCTGTCATCTTTTGTTCGCGTTGCACTGCGACAATATCTTATGGTGTCTCATCTTTCAAGCAAAATGACCTTACTAATTTACAAGTAGTCATAACTCGTATACGAAAGTATTATGTGAAAAGGCCCTATTACTCACAGCACACATTATTTGAGATGTTGGTGTTATAAATCCTTGACACCTACATCGAAAAAGCTGATTGTAGGCAAACAGACTCATGAGTCGATTCACTCGGACTCAAAATGAGCCGTAAGTGTGCGTGAGTAATGGTTTGTTGAGTTTGAGTCTGAGTGAGTCCGGTTGAAGAAACTTATTCTGTGTATGAGTCCGGGTCTGTCCGGCTCAGGAATATTCTGGCGAGTTGGAGTGTGCGTGAGCCCGTTGCGCTAGATATATTTATTGAGTGAGTCTGAGTGAGCTCCATAAGATTTGCCGACATATGTTAATGGTGTCATTAGCTTGACTTTTTAGCTGTTTTTTTACAACACACCGACCGGGCCAAAGCAACTTTAGCCACTGCGTGTCAAGTCCAAAGACTTGAATTCGACATGGAGCCTGTCGTGTTAAAAGTTGTGCTTCTGACGTAAATTTCACCATAGTGTGACTAGGGAATAACTCGAGATATGTCAAGTCATGTGTAAAGTATGTTTGACCCGATAGATTCTATTACGAATGCTTTATGCATATGCAGTGAGCAAACTTTGGTGTCAAAAGTTGTCCAAACATTGACTGGAGCCAACGTTTCGAAAGTGCACTTGTCTTCTTCAAGGCTACAACTGCTTCCCTGACGAGATTAGACTGCTTGTCGGCATGTCAGCTCCAGCAACACCCGTTATTAATGAGTTTTACGTGTCTTCAAGCTTCCATTTTGCTGCACTGACCTTCTGTCTTACAACAGTATATTTTGTAACAACAGCATAATTTTTTACTGTAGTCACACAGGCACTCCAACCTTAGTTACGATGAGCGTAAGTTTCTTAAACGGTACTTCCAGTTACACAGAAAGCCTAGCCACAGTTATCCCACTAACCATGATTGCTCCAAACTGAGGTTGACCACCTCAGTTAACTAAGCTAACTAACAAGCTGGCGGCACTCGTGTTGGTGGCTGAAGGCAACGGGGTTTAAACAGAGACCGATACCTCTTCCCAGAAGGGTGTCAATTTGCTTTTTTCGATAACAGATACGCTGACTTGTGAAACAGTCCGGCAAAACAAACTACACACAGATCACTGCAATAATAAACATAGCCAGCTACAGATTGCCTTGGCTTTCACATTGACCACGAGGTAACTTCGCCTATAGTTGCGAGACTAGCACTTTCTTGTGCCAAATATTTTCGTAACACAAGCCAGAATACACTTGTGGAAAGTTGCTGTGAGCAGGAAGTATTTATTTGAAAGAAAATGAATTTATTTGTCAGTATGTGTATGAAAAGCTGGTAAATGTTTATAATTATTAACCACGAAACTGAGTGTCACGTCACACGTGACCTGTTTTGCAGCCTAGAACACTTCCAAACCAAGGGTAACTTTTCTAGTGTAAATCGTGCCAATTCCAGTTGTCGGTAACTTTAGTTCTTTTTGGTTAACTGAGGTTAGTGTGTCTGTGGAATGACGGCATTACTATCTCTATTAGAGTGAGGTATGAAATGCTGCATTCACTTTTTTGCAGGAGAGCCGACGTCAGGAAGAGGCTGCACTAAAGATCAAGGCCTATGGCAGGGGTTTCCTGAGTCGCCGTCGCCTGGTACCGTGGAGATTATTATCTCTTTTGGCACGCATGTTTAAATTTTAAAAATGAAACTAACTTTCAGTGGAATATGATGCGCATGTTGCCTGTCTGATGCTTTCGCACCAGCTTCGATGCTCTAATGCTTGTGTTGTTGGCTTTCACGTTCTGTAGTCTAGTCGGGGAGAATCAGTAAGAGGCAGCTTTCGGTGATGGTAAAGAACTAATGCCGCAAATAAATGACTTCTGCACTTTCTGATTGAAGGAAGGAAGCTTTGAGGGCGCACTTTATTTGTTTTGCACAATCTCAATGAAAATCAGCAGATAATGAAGGAAATTCAAACCTTCCTTGGCTTCATTATCTGCTGGTTTTCATTAAAGTTCTATAGTTTGTATAATACAGGATTGTGCCTATATGTATTTAACAATGCTGGTTTTTTTGCATCACAGCAATAATGCAATTATCGCAGGTAACAATAGAGAGCTTGAGTGTAAGTAAGCTTGGCTGTACCTTTGTATTCTTTTTGCATGCGGCTAGAAGTACAAAGGAATGTCAGTGCGTGCACATGCAAGCTGCTTGGGACCCTCGGCACTAAAACTCTAACATGTATTGACTAGTCTGGCCATGCTGCAACCTCATCAGGAGTGGAAAGATCTCACAGTTGTACAGCAACCTAGGCAAATTGCGCATCGATAACAGTTTAGCTGCGTTGACTGTGCCAAACACTGTGTGTCGCGTATTATCATGTGTTGGTGTGACATGCTGCTCCAGGTAAACAGGGGTAAGACAGCCACGCATATTATGCATATTTTATGCATTTTCATACTATATGCGAAGCAGCTCTTTGATTGGCCTGTGTAACGCTGTCCGTCCATGTCTCTATGCCAACACGCCGCACGGCTCTCCTCTTGCCGCAGTTTCCAGAACGATGCCAAGTAGGTCAAGTCGCAGCTGCGCATTGGCTTCACTCTCTCCTCCACCCACAGCAGCTGCTGGCTCCTCCACCAGCTGGCAACACACTTCCCTCTCGCTTCACCCTTTCTCTCACCCACAACACTCAACCACACGTAGAGTGGAAACATTAGACAGATTTAGCTGCGCATCCGCAGCAGCCGTACAGACGCAGCCTGACACTGCAAATGGCTAGCAGGCTGCATCCGTACAGCGGCTGCGGATGCCTGACTAAATCTGTCTATTCATTTGGCTCGTTTATCTGTGATGAAACTTACATGAAACCGAACCCACCTCCTATGTCTTGCGTTACAAACGTTTACTTGAGTAAATGCTACACGAAGTGTCGCTTCAAATCGTTCTTCCAGCACTTGTGTCAACGCCCATTTCAATGGGGTCAACGCCATGCACACCGCTACTGCTTCACATCCCATTGGGGTTCCCTTCGGGGAGATGGCACCAGAGATTACTAGGAAAGGAGACATTCGATCGCAGAACAGAGAAAGTGTGTTTCTATGCACCTATGTAGTGTAAGCTCCCATGGTGCCGCTTCAGTCTCCTCTGGGTTGTTCTGAATATGCCTGACCCTCTTGAATCTGTTGTTCCCCGTGCTACTTCTACTCGCTAGTCTGTGCAGTCTAGCACTACTACCGCTTAGTGAAAACTGTCGAGTTGCATGCGTCGCGATATTGACTCTGAGGATCTTTGTTGTGCGTAGATTGTTCCTCTAGTTGCTGCGGTTTTCGTGTCGACGTGGCCACGTGTACTCACCTACGTGCACTTTTGCTGTGGGAGTGTTCATGCCGTTACGCCCCGTACCATGCAGGGGTGAGGTGTGTACTCGGTTGCATCAAGGCCGTGACAATTAGGTTCTTGCATGCAATATGTTACTATGGTGGTTTAGCCGTTTCGTTTATTGGACGGATGCGAAGAGCATTCGAGTCATCCCCTGATGAAAGCGTGCAGCACGCTTACTACTGCACTACACTTGCAGTACCATGCGTGCACTGGACAGGATATTGTGGCAAGGTTTATTAAAGACGATAGTCTTTCTTGGGGACCTTCGACGGAAAAATTCTGGTCTGTCTGTCTGTCTGCCCTAACGATACGTCAAATGGCACCAAACGGCCAACCCCGTCCGCAGCACCCACCAATATTGCTCAAGGTTTTGCGCTCATAGCTGTGCGATTGTCAATTAAAAAGCAATTATTGCGCATATCTGAGGCACCACAACATCGCTTCAATGTTTTGTATGTCTGCCTTTATACGAGAAGGGGCACACGCAAGTAACTCTAAGGAATGTAGCGTTTATTGCGCTGCGCTGACAGTGCAACGCGATGCTCAAAAAGGTGTTTCCAACGCTTTGCTACGACGTCACGGTGATGGCACCTGCCCGTCGTTCTGCGTTCTACACCTTATCACCTCCGAGACTGGCGCGCATCTTTCTCTACGGGCTGCACGCCTTTGTTTTCAAAGATAACTGCCAGATGGCGCTTGTGTCTAACGTGCCTCAATGCGCTCATTCGCCTTCGCTACACGCTCGAGGCACTCTAACGCGGCGCCTCCAGAATACCATTCACCGATTTTCTTGCACAGAACATCAAATAAACGTTTTTTTCACTCTCTCCAGACGCAAGACTATCGTCTTTCGACGACATTTGCGGTGTAACATGCCGATTTGGAACCAATTCACCTTTATGCCACACTCTTACGGGGATATGGTAAGGTAAATGGTATATGTCAGTTTTAGCATGATATCTCAGAAGCCGCTGCAAATATTCGCATAAAATATTATGTGCTCATCAAAAGTGCCACTGGGTATCAAATGACATCCTTTTTTTTATGCCTCGGTTGCTTATCCTTTCTATGGCCCACTCCCAAATTTCAGAGGGGGTCCACTTATTCAATGTACCTTTTCTTTGCAGCTACCGAGAGGAATGTAACCATATTCAGCCGAGTTTTTGTTGAGGCTCATAGGTTACATCTGAACTATAAAAATATTACATTTTTTATGAAGTTTTTATATATGAAGAAATAAGAATACTTGACGCGCAATGACACAAAAGATGTGTATTGCGTAATCTTTTCACAGATTCCTTTTTTTTGTGAAATCGGCAATTATTTTAGTTCAGATTGTTTCTAGCTTGTAGCTCCCACACACAAAGTTTCATCGAAGTCGGTTCAATACCTTTTCAGAATAGGTACACTGAGGTTGATAAATTTACAGAAAACGCAATTTGAGAAAAATGAATTTTTATGTGCACATACTGCTTACGACAGAAAGTGCTGCGGGGCGCACTTTGGCGTGGCATTTGAATCGCTTGAGGGGGTCGCTTGACGTCAAGCTTCCACAGGTCTGTTCCTCAGAGTACAGTAGATTTTTTGGTGTCGAAATTGCAAATTCGGTCTCAAAAATGGTGGAGCGCACTCAACACCACGGCAAACATGCGGTCAAGCAGATGGATAAAGGCACTTATTGTGATGTTCTCGTGACAAAAAATAATGCTGACCTGTAGGAGAGCTTAAGTAGCTAAATAAGCAGCCCTGCAAAAGCCAAAGCAGTAATCTGCCAAATCATGTCACTCATCTTGAGATAAAGCCTATCGCTGTGTAACTACAATTTTTGTGCAGTCACACTTGTTTTAAGAATTGTGATGCCTTCGCACTCTTTTCTTCGAATGTTTATGAGTTTAACTTAGTTTGCAGAATTTTCTTTATTTCGCATGCCGTTTGTTACTCAGGTTAGATACATCGTGTAGTGTGTAAAAACCTAGTGCACTTCATAGTTGGGGTAACCTGTTTATAGAATTTTCTATGAAGGCTGTTTAAGTGTAACGTGTGTCCTAAGCTGACTAAATTATTTACTTGTCCCCCCAAATTGGTGCACGTTTCTTTTACACATTAAATGCTACTGACTGCTACAAATCAGTGTTGTTCTGCTCCCATAATCGAAGTTTCGCTGCTTCAAAAGCTGCTCCCAATTCTCGTTCATCCATCTCACCCTTGTGTAAGACATTTCTCACACCCATCGAAACTCTGTGTAGCTAAGGTCTTATAGGAATTCCACAGGTCAGGCTGCCATGTATCGAAACTGTGATTGTTGAAAGCGTTGTGAATGGATGCTTGTCCACCCGATTGCTTTAAGCCAAAAAGTAACCGTGCAGTTTTATGAAGCTGGCACTGAATTCGTGAAGGCAGGAGTGTTTCGAGAACAGTCTTAAATGGAATCGACTTTCTACTTGAAAATAGGAAAACGATGTTGGGGGATCTTGCAGTACCCCTTTTCTTTTCTTTCTAGGCTCGTGAACTTCGCCAAAAATTCGACACAACCTCAAGAGTTTCAAGTGACCTGGGCCCGCTTCTGTCCTCCATCCCGCTCTTTTATGATGTCCAGGTTGATACAGAGCGTTTGGTGAGTGACCATGCTGATATGTGTTGCCTAACCTAATGTTGTGGCCAAGGTTACTCAGCTCCTTTTATGTGTGAAGTACTGCATGTTTTTGTTGGCTGAAACTTTTAGTAGCAGAAAGCCAGAACTGCTATCAGGAAACACAAATGAGAACATCCAGCCGCACAAATAAGGATGCTCGGGTATTCTGGCAAGACAGTGTGGGAATTGTTACGTGAACAAAATGGTGAATGTCCGTGCATCCTGTCAGAAGTTTTACAAAATGCAGTATGAGGCCTCCACTGCTCTGCACAGGGCATCATTACATGCTCTAGTTACTGCCCAAACACGTTACAATAAGTATTCCTTATGAGTTCGTAATGTTTGTTCACAATATCATTGAAGCCGTAACTTCAAGTGTGCTGAAGTTTTTTATTTGTCACTTTTAGAAGCAATGCTCCATATGTAGATTATAGAAGTCTTCCAAAAGTGGATTCGGTACACCATACACTTGATTGTCATCTTTTGGTACTGAGGTGCAGTCACCTCTGTTTTGGTTTGCGAGTGTTGCTGCGAGGATTTCGCAGCACCTCCGAGGGACGGTGCCTCTCAGATGGCGTTTTGCCGGGACAAGACTCGCAATGAGGTTTAGAGGAAGAAGTGTTCCCTCCGGCTACGGGCTAGTTTCTAGTAACTTATAGTGCCTCCTAATCACATTTTGTGTTTGAATCTAGCACTTTGGATTTATATGTTGGTTCCACCTGTCTAGGCCTGGTTGAGTCATCAAGTGTTGCTCCGTAAAGACGAAGTCGCCGGCCAGGCGGATGATCCCGTGTGGCGTCTGCGAATTCGCCGCCTCCTTGCTCTTAATGTCGTGTGAGTATTCTTGCCACTTTACCTTTGCAGTAGTGGCGGTTTATGTTGCCGTTGGCATTGATGATTTCAACTGCCCACATACTCCTCGACCCCGCGTATAGACCCTTGCACGCAAGTCTCATACTGCTTGCTCATTTGGATTAATCTCTATATGTGTGTGGGGAGGATGGGAAGTGCAGACACTTCTTGGTTCTCGGCTGGATTGGTTGTCGCAGCGGTTGCATCGTTCGAATTGATGCAGCTCTGTGGCATACAACCATTATTATGTGACCATCTTGGAGCCTTGTAATGAAACGTAATGTCCAAGGACAGCAAGGGCTACTATTTGGCGACTCGCTATGATTGCGTTTTTGTGAGTGCTGCAGTTGCCTAATCCTACATGAGAGGCAACATCCGCTGTGCAACGGAGAGCGGGAGGGGCAGCGTAAGAGCAGCTCGGCTTGCCGAATCGTGTGACACTTCCCTCTCTGTCTGTTCCCTTCCCCAATACATGTAACACCAGCCGTCTTAACATTGGTGCTGTACTGATAGCCATTAGCGTTACGGCGAGACTGCTTGTCGATATTGTCACGGGGGTGAGAGAATGAATGAAATAAATATATTTACAAAGTATGCAGGGATAGTCAGAGGCAGCTGCAGCCAAGATGGAGGCCCAACAGCAACAACAACACGAGCACGGTCGCTTTCATCGTCTTTGTCGTCTATGATGCTCTTTCGTTGCCGGTGTCGTGTAACATATAACCCCCCGCCGCTGGCAGCGCCGTCTCGGCTCCTGAAGGAGCGTAGGATCATATGCGGATATGTATGGTTTGAGGCGGGTCACGTGGACGTCGTCCGTAGCGGGTGCGGACGACGACTGACTGTTTAACGAAGCAATCTCGTATGTGACTTTGGTAAGCCGGTGTAAAACCTTGTAAGGCCCCGAGTAGTGAGACAGGAGCTTCGAAGAGAGGCCAACGTGGCGGCATGGTGTCTAGAGGAGGACTAATGAACCTGGAGAGTAGGAAACTACTCTGTGATGGCTATCGTAGCGGGCCTTCTGAAAGAGCTGCGAGCCAAGAAGACATTCCTGTGCGATTCGGCGGGCCACTTGAGCCCGAGCAGTAGCATCCCGGGCGTACTCTGTAACCGTTTGCGTAGTTGATGGGAGAAGAGTCTCGAAGGGTAACGCTGGATGGCGGCCGAACAATAAATAGAAGCGGAGAAGCCAGCGGTGTCGTGGCATGACGAATTGTACGCAAATGTCACATAAGGCAAAGTACTATCCCAATCAAGGTGATCTTTGAAAATGTACATGGAGAGCATTGTTGTCAAGGTTCGATTTAGGCGCTCGGTAAGACCATTTGCTTATGGGTTATAGGCCATAGTGAGCTTGTGACGCGTCGAACACGAGCGAAGGATGTCGCTTACTACTTTTGAAAAAAATGAGCGACCACGATCAGTCAGCAGCTGTCGAGGAGCGCCATGTTGAAGAATTACATCATGAAGCAAGAAGTCTGTGATGTCAGTGGCACAGCTTGTCGGTAGCGCTCGTGTGATAGCGTATCTTGTGGCGTAATCAGTGGCTACAGCTATCCACTTGTTTCCAGTGAGAGAAGTAGGAAATGGTCCAATGAGATCAAGACCGATGCAGTAAAAGGGAACGGTGGGTATTGTCATAACTGGCAATACAAGGAACCGGCATGCAAGGGGCGCTCATCGGCGTACCTGCCATACGCTGTCCGCATTCCTGTGGAACGCGGGAAATTTCTTGGCGCGCTGCGAGAAACGTGCATCGGCAGGTCTGCTGTACGCAGTCGGCGTCTAGTGCGTGCACGGACGGCTATAAAAGGAGCGTGTCGGGAGTGCGCTGGGCTCTCTCTCTGGACTTCGCTGGCCCGCTCGTCTCGAGTGCGCTCTGGGCCCTTGTGATGGAAAGGCGCGTCAGTACGCTCTCGTTGCAATGTACTTCTCTTGCAAATATGTAAATTAAACGCATCTTCTACTTGTTCGTGAGACGCGTCGCAAGAGTCGTCCTTCGCGGGATCCTGGGTGGCAGCCTCAACCCCTCCCCGGGCATATCAGTATGTCTATTGGTTGGAGCGGACCAGCTGGTGGCAAGGTGGAATGTTTGGAGCGCTGGCAGGACTCACATGCAGCAACGTATCAACTCACAGAATGGTAAAGGCTTGGCCAGAAGAATCTACACCGCACGCGATCGTACGTGCGCGTGACCCCGAGATATCCCGTGGTTGGGGCGTCGTGAAGCTGTTCAAGTACAGCAGAACGGAGTGTCGCAGGTACTACGAGTAGTAGCTCTGGTCTCTCGGCGCTGGTGTTGCGTCCGTAAAGAATGCCATCGCGTAGAACGAACAAGTGTAGTGACGGGTCTACATGCGGCAAACATAGACTCTGCATGATAGACCGCAAGTAGACACCGCTGAGCTGTTCCTTGCGTATGTCGGTGAAAGCCGACATGGCGAAGACACAAGGGTCAGAATCATGTGCTGAAAGGTCAGGTGGGTCCACGGGGTGACGGGATAGACAGTCGGCATCCTGGTGCATTAGGCCAGATTTGTATGCCACGTCGAAGCTGTATTCTTGTAGTTTCAAGGCCCAACGGCCAAGTCGTCCAGTTGGATCTTTAAGGGACGACAGCCAGCCCAAGGCATGGTGAACTGTAATTACCGAAAAGGTGCGGCCAAACAAGTATGGACGAAATTTTCCAACTGCCCAGACTAGTGCGAGGCATTCACGCTCTGTAATGGGAAACTTGCTCTCCGAAGGAGGAAGGAGGGGACTGGCATAAGCAATGACGCGATCCTGTCCTCGTTGCCGCTGGGTGATAACAGCACCAATTTCATGTCCGCTGGCATTAGTACGAACTTCAGTATGGGCTGACGGGTCAAAATGGGCCAAGATGGGTGGGGAAGTAAGTAATGTTGTAATGGTGCTAAAGGCAGCTGCTTGGTCAGTACCCCAATAAAAAGGCATGTCCTTCTTCAATAGCTCTGTAAGTGGTCGGGCAATGTCAGCAAAATTCTTCACAAAACGTCGAAAGTAAGAACAAAGCTCGATAAAACTCCGTACAACTTTTGCGGAACGTGGTATGGGAAAATCTTTGACAACTCGAATTTTGTCAGGATCAGGTTGCACGCCTTGAGCACTGACAAGGTGTCCCAGCACAGTGATTTCCCGAAGGCCAAAGCGACATTTGGAAGAGTTGAGCTGAAAAAATTACCGGAGCCCTCCACTACGGCGTCTCTCATAATCATATGGTGGTTTTGGGACGTTAAACCCCACAAATCAATCAATCAATCAAGAGTTGAGCTGAAGTGCTGCTGTCCGGAAAACCTCAAGAACAGCTGTTAGGCGGCTAAGGTGGCTTTCGAATGTAGGTGAAAATGCGATGACGTCATCGAGATAGCACAGGCACGTGGTCCATTTGTATCCACGCAGGAGAGAGTCCATCATCCTTTCAAATGTAGCAGGCGTATTACACAATCCGAATGGCATAACCTTGAACTGGAAAAGTTCATCCGGTGTGATGAATGCGGTTTTCTTACGGTCTCGATGATCGACAGAAATCTGCCGGTATCCTGATCGCAAGTCGATAGATGAAAAGTAGGCAGACCCATGTAGGCAGTAGAGAGCATCATCAATTCGTGGCAGTAGATACACGTCCTTACGTGTTACTTTGTTTAAGTGACAGTAGTCTACGCAGAAGCGCCAGCTGCCATCCTTCTTCTTGACTAGCACGATCGGCGATGCCCATGGACTGCAGCAAGGTTCGATGACGTCTTTTGTGAGCATTTCTTCAATTTCGTGCTGGATAACTTGTCGCTCAGCATTAGACACGCGATAAGGACGTCGTCCGATGGGGGCTGGCGTCTCCAGTGTTAATCCTATGAGTTACAAAGGATGTCTGACCCAAAGGACGGTCATCAAAATCAAAGATGTCACGGTAGGATTTCAGCAGGTGCCGGATGTCAGCTGTCTGTGCTGGAAGGAGGTCCGGAGCGATCATCTTGTCGATGGTGGCATCCGCTGCGCTCTTCGAAGATGAGAATGGAGCAGAGGACGAAGAAGATTCGGCAACGAATGCTGAAATGGCAGCATCTATAGAAGAAACTTTTGCCAAAGTCATACCATCTGAGATAACTTGAGCGCACCAGCTGAAGTTTAGGATCGGAAAAGATGCTGTATTTCCCGTGACTGTCAAAAGGGTGTCAGGCACGGCAACATTTTTGGCCAGCAGAACGTCAGCAATAGGTGTCAACATGTAGTCATCATCGGGAACAGGAGGGACAGATCTCAGGTTCACGTAAGTAACTGCTTGAGGTACTAGGCGAACGTGATCTGCAGAACACAGACGGGGTTGAGCTGGTGTTGGGTCGTCATGGTAACACGGTAAATCAAGTTGAAGCATGCCGGTTCCACAATCAATAAGGGCAGAGTGGGCGGATAAAAAGTCCATGCCAAGGATAAGTTCATGGGAACATTTCTTGAGCACAGCAAATAGCACTGTCGTGGAGCGATTAGCCGCACTTGTACGCGCGGAGCACATTCCAAGCATGGGAAACGTGCCGCCGTCGGCGACCTGGATGAGTGGCACTGTGGGTGGCATTAAAACTTTCCTTAGGCAGCAACGAAGTTCTGAATTCATCACTGATATGTGAGCCCCTGTGTCCACAAGTGCAACAACGGGTGTGTCATCTACTTCAACGTCAATAAGGTTGCGTCGAGTCGGTAGCATGGTCAGAGGATTTGGCGGGCAAGTGGTCGATGCAGCATGATCTCCGGGAGCTGCATCATCTAGTTTCCCCGCGGCAGGTAGTCAGTCGGCGACGTTGGTCGGCAAAATTGGGGCAAGCGAGATGACGGGCGACGGGAGAGCGGTGAGCGGGACTGGTGAGCATGCGGAGGTGGAGAGTGACGATGATATGGCAGCATAGAAGGAACGTCTTCACTGGTGGCCTGAGGTGACTCCCGGTAAGTTTGAAAGCGTCCATAATCCCTCTCTGGCCGATGGGTGTATCCATAGGATGCCTGAAGCCAATACCACCGAGTGTTACAATGGCGGGCCATGTGGCCGATACGGTGGCAGTTGAAACAAATGGGGCGATCGTCAGCAGTCCTCCACTCGGCTGGATTGCGAGGGCGCGCCGGAAGATTTTGGCTTTGGGCATACGAAACAGGGGGTCGGCGACTGTCGATCGGCTGAAAGGGAGCTGTAGTGCACTCGGAGGCCAGTCCAGCATTGGAAAGCTCTTGTCTCACCATGGCATGTACCAGTGGCACCATCTGAAGGCTAGAGTCACAGGCGTGGGAGCACGTGGACACAGGAGACAGAGCTTCAAGTTCACGTCTGATGATCTTGGTCACGTGCTCTGCAGTTAACGCACGACTGGGTTGCTGCTGTGTTTGGTAGTCGAGTGAAATTATGGGCGATATGTCGACTTTTTGCGGCCTCAAAACGCTGGCACTCCTTGATGATGGCATCGACCGTGTTGCAGTCCTTGAATATGAGAAGGTTGAATGCATCATCTGCAATGCCTTTTAGTATGTGGGCTACTTTTTCAGTTTCTTCCATATTGTTGTCTGCTTTTCGGCAAAGGGAAAGCACGTCCTGTATGTAAGTCACGTAGGTCTCTGATGACGTTTGCGCACGAGATGCCAACTCCTTCTTAGCCGCTGCCTTTCTACCTACAGACTTGCCGAAAAGAGCGCGCATCTTTTCTTTGCACGCATCCCAGCTTCCAATTTTATCTTCATGGTTCTCGAACCACACTTTTCCTGTTCCTTTCAAGTAGAACAGGATATTGGCTAACATAAGAGTTTCATCCCAGCGGCTAATTCTTACTTGTAGGTTCGTACAACGGCAACCATTCTTCGATGTCGACATCATCCGTGCCACAGAACGTGCCAGGATCTTTTAGCTGCGAAAGGACAACAGTTGTTGTTGTAGTCGCCTCGGCAGGAGTGGGTCCCTGGTTTGCCATGGTGGAAAAATCCAAGCGTCGGCCACTGCGGAGCTCTGTTATATCGTGTTGTACCCCGCACCACCACCAAATGTCACGGGAGTGAGAGAATGAATGAAATAAAAATATTTACAAAATATGCAGGGAGAGTCAGAGGCAGCTAGCTAAGATGGAGGCCCAACAGCCAGAACAACACAAGCATGGTCACTTTCATCGTCTTCGTCGTCTATGATGCTCTTTCGTTGCCGATGTCGTGTAACAATATTGCAGACTTTTAGTGTATCATGTGAGAAGACAGCTCATCAATAAGATAATTGTTGTTCACCCAGCCAAAGCATTCAGCTACAGCATACAATCCTCATTTGCCTCTGCAGCTCCCTGCAGAGGCCAGGCTTTCCAACGGCAACTGCGCTGCGTCTCCTGGAGGTACTGGGCTCAATCGAGGCATATCCACCGCTCCTTCCGGGGCTGCCTGTCGGAGGAGGAGCGAGCTGCCCAGCTGCGTTCATGGTTGCAGCTTCTGTGGTTCCATCTGGCACGCCGGTGCAACCTGTTTGAGCACCTGTGCAAACTCCTGGAACCACGGATACCAGATCCAGGCCCAAAGGAAGAAGGCATGCCTCAGGTGAGTTTGTGAGAAGGCTAGGAATCTTATTGGTAGGAAAGCTGGGCTCACATGGCTCTCGTTGTTAGAGGTATAGCGCATCCAGGACGGGACAGAGAAGAAGATACAGAACACATACACAGCGCTTACTTTATTGTTAAAAGTAAGGGCCGTGTATGTGTTCTTTGTCTTCTTCTCTGTCCCGTCCTGGATGCGCTATACCTCGAACAACATGAATAACCAACAAGCCCCCCGTGCAACCTTAGTCGATCACATGGCTCATCTAGTGGTTGAGTCACATTATGGCAATGCTGCATACTAACTGCTGGTTCCCAGAGAAGGCAAGCAGGTGAGGGGGAGACAGAAAATTAGGGGGGGTACATTAGATTAGGAAGTTTGCGGGTGTAAAGTGGCAGCAGCTAACACAGGGCCGAGTTGACCGGCGGAACATGGGAGAGGCCTTTGTCCTGCAGTGAGCGTAGTCAGGCTGATGATGATTAGTTGCACTTTACCAGCCAGCAAATTACAACGTGCACTGCTCAGTCGTGCGTGGAGGCATTCTATACAAACTTGTGGTCCGTCGCCATTATGGGAGAGTGATGACAGTGTGTCTGACTCTTCTGACGGGAGGCCGTTTTGAACGCATTTTCGGTTTAGTCTTCATGCGCACGCAATTTTCGGACTTCATTTATTGGTAGAAAGATGCGCGTCAGGTTAGATTTTTTCTTAGAGTAAAGATTCGACCGCATCTCCTCCAATTATGACTGCTGCCAGTAATGGCCACTGGCCACAATAATTCAATCTACCTTCCTTGCAGAGGCACAAGGTCGTGCCGTGGGCTTACTTGGTTGGTTTGTACCCATTTTTTGGGTAAGGCAGAGTGTCACTGTCTATAATTTTAATCTTTTGATTATATGACACCCGGATTATACAACGGTCTTGCGCGGTCCTCTGAAAGTCATATAATTGTAGTTTCACTGCACGTCATGAGTTCTGGTGGAGTCAACAGAGGCATGTATAATATTTGACAATGCTGGTAATCACTCCTGATGATGGAGAACTTGAACAGGGACCTGCGAACATAATGTTGCACTGACTTGCCTGCTTACTGACTCTTTGTAAAGCATTGGCAGTGAGATAATTATCAACTCACCAGAATTCTCCTTGTTTTCCTGTTTTTTGCTCAATAAGAACAGTGATGCGACTAAGAAAACAAAAAAGTGCAGTATAACCTCGTTACAGTGAACGTGCTTACAACAGATATTCGGATATTACATGCTAGAGCTGTGGGAATAGCAAAATTTTGGGTGCAAAGCGAATTAAAACAATGCAGTACGAGTGTAAATCGAATCCAATATCTCATGAACATGTATGTCTAGAATATTTTTTGCATACTTTGAAGCAAGATCGCAGAAAAGGAATTCCCAAGCATATTCCTGTGAGTTAGAAACATAAAAGTGTTTCTTTTGGCCCTGTTGGAGAAGTGTTGGCGGGGTGGTGTATCATAGATCTCTTACCAAGAACGGGTCATTGCAGAGGCTAAATTGTATTTATGTACATGATTTGGGGCAACCAACGTGTTGCCCCAAACCTAAGTGTTTGGGGCAACCAAAGTTTGCCACACTTTACACGTGAAAGGCAAAGATCTATTTCATCAGCCTCTCTTCGTCTTTTGACTTCTCTGAAAGCCCAACTGATGTGGTGTCCAAGGGTGTGCCCCCTTTGCGTCTGAGTCCCAGATTTGCCTTGTAGATGTCAATATATAGTAGTACATCTGAAAATTTGGGTGCTGAAAATCTCTGGCGTCCGATTTTTTGGGCTTACTGCCAAAATTTGTGGTCCAAAACAGCATCAATTGAGCCTCCACCTCTGTCAAATTTATCATCTCCATATTGGCACCAGCATTTGGTCAAGGCAATAAATTTAAGATCGTAGCAGAGCTTGAAACACAGCTTTGCCGCAGTACAAGTGTGTAATGGGGTGAAGCATATTAAAAGTCTGAAGGGGACATTGTAGACATTGACTGAATACGACTTTGGGAAGTTCTTATAGTAAAATTACAGTAGTGAAAACGGTAGCCTCTCTAGTATCAACTTCAAAGCAGCGATTGAGCGTCTATCCCTTTAACCCTTTGCGGTCCATTGTCGGGCCCCGCCCGACAACACAACACAGCCGCAGCGGTCCGCTGTCGGGCACTGCCCGACACGCTTTCTCCTGATTGAATTGCGCGCACATTTTTTTTACTGCGCATATTGCGCCACCTCTTATAAAAGGCAAGAACTGCCTTGATTTCAGCTTTGTTTTTTTCACCAGATGGCGCAGTTTACGCGGTTGAACTCTTCGATTGTTCGAGTGGCACGCAGCTCAGATTCGGCGCCACTTGCAGCGAAATGGCCGCCTTTTCACCGAGTGCCTTCTACGGCGGTAATTCTGAAGCTTTTAGTGAAAGCGAAGACGATTTTAGTGATGAAGACAACTATGTGGCTCCATCGAATATCGAAGAAAGTGATTCTACAGAAGCCAGCGAGGAAAAAAACGAGGACGGTAGGGACGGTGGAAACAACCAGAACAACACAGGACCACGTGAAACCGACTGGACAGCCTACTTGGATAATTTACCAGATTTTGACCCTCTTCCCTTTACTGTCCCGAACCCGGGATCTCAAGTAAGCTCTTCCAATGTAAAGTGCGAGTTGGACTACTTTCAGTTGTTCTGCGCGAATAGTGCGCGAAACAAACCGCTACGCCCGTGATAAAATCTCGAGTGCCGGTGTTCTTCAGCAGTACTCGATTTGGAATGACTGAGAAGATGTGCGCGTGGAAGAATTCAAAGCCTTCCTGGGGGTTATAGTGAACATGGCCTTGAAACCCAAACCGGAGCTGAAGGAATACTTTAGCAACGACCTCCTCAAGAAGGTGCCTTTTTTCCCACACGTTTTCAAACGAAAAAGGTTTCTTCAAATATTTTGGATGCTGCACGTTGAACCAAGCCCACTTATCTCTTCAGGTCCACCGACTCGAGGAAGCAAGATGAGGGATGTTGTGACCTACATAGATGCTAAATGCAGAAAGCATTTCAACGCCGGCCCCAAAATTTGCGTAGATGAAAGTACTGTCGGCTTCAAAGGCCGAGTCTCATCCAAGTATTACAATCCCCAGAAGCCAACAAAATGGGGCATGTGCGTTTATGCGCTGGCTGACTGCCAAACAGGCTACATTTCGTCCTTTGAACCATACTACGGCAGCACAACAACTGATAGCCTCTGCCATCCCGAGGTTCCCTTCACATGCAGGATTGTGCTCCACCTGCTGGAAAAAGTGGAGCAAGCTACACCGGGCAGTGGCTATCATCTGTATACGGACAAATTTTATACGTCTCCAATGCTTGCAGAAGAGTTGCTTTCGCACAGTATTTTGCTAACTGGGACTGTGATGACAAATCGAAAACAAATGCCGCAGCAGCTCAAAAAAAAGATGAAAAAAGGTGAAGTGACGGCTTATCGCAGAGGAAAGTCGTACATGGCACTTGCCTGGCGGGATAAGCGTCAAGTGACAATGCTAAGCTCAGCCCACAATGCGTCTACGAAAGAAGTGCCAAGGAAGATAGCTGGAGGAAAAACACTGACACTGAAGAAGCCTGTGGTGATATGCGGCTACACTGAAAACATGGGTGCAGTGGACAGGGCCGATCATTACTGTGCAAGTTATGCATTTTCCCGGAAGTCAATGAAATGGTGGAGAAAGCTTTTTTTTTTTTTGGCTTCTGGAAGTTTCGATAGTGAACAGCTTCATTTTGATGAGACTGCAGCTCCTGAAGCAGGGAGAGAAAGAGCAGCGACACCTCCAGTACCGGAGGAACCTGATAGAGCAGCTGGTTGGTGACGTAAGGGCTCGCGCTGGGAAGCGGGGCCCATCTGCAAGATTGGATTGCGAACAAAGGCTGGATGGAAAGCCCCATTTCATCTACAAGCTCCCTGGCCAAAGCAGCAAGGACTGCGCTGCTTGCAGTGACCGGAAAACAAAATGGGGCAGGAGGGAAACAGTGTTCTTCTGCAAAACCTGCGGAAATAATCCTGGACTGCACCCAGGAGAGTACTTTGAACGCTTCCACACACTGCCCAAGTATCGCTAAATAACTTGGGGACAAAGAGGAACTGACGAAATAAACAACCGCCAAGTTAATTTCCCACAGTTGTCGTTTCCTTTCGTGGTGCCTCAAACTAGTGAAATAGTTTCGGACCGGAATGACTGGAAAGTGGGTAAAAGTTTGGGATCGCAAAGGGTTAATCCATTGTAATAGTCCACCCCTCACATGAAACCCCTTCATTGGGGCCTTTGAATTATTGTAAATAAATAAATAGCAAACACAGTTGGAAAAATATTTGAAATTTCAAATTAAGTACACCAATGTGGGTTGTCAAATCGCGTCAACGATATTCCACTTTAAGTACGGAGCTCTGGGTTCAACTCATGTTCTTGCGTGTTGTGTGCTTTGCAGGTGGTTACGCCACAGGCTCAGGCCATGGTTGACCTGCTCCTTCTCCCTCTTGTCAAACCAGTGGCTGATGGCCCCGAATGCAAAGACTATCAACGCGAGATCATCACCTGTCTCTTAAGAGGTGTTCTCGGTGACTGCCCTCAGGTATTGTATTTATGGGTCATTTTGGGTAGTTTCCTCGCGTGCCGGCCGATATTTGGGATTTACCCGGAAGACTCCGCAATTTCGAGGAATTCATCCACTTTCCAGAAATATGTCAAACGTGGCACTGGTTCGTTACGTGTTCCAGTGATAAAAGTTTGACACTCGCTGGCATAATCATCATCAGTGACTGGTCTATAGGTTCACATTTGGAGTGTGGTGTCAGTTGTAGCAGCTGCTAGGTTCTCATATGCTAATGGGCAGTGGTGGCTTATGTAACACGCTGAGAGTTTATGTAACACGCGGCAGCTGCCGAGAGAGAGAGAGATTGTGTGTGGGGGGGGGGTGAAGAGTAAGTGGCGCTATTTTCTGCACTGTGGCCTCCGTGCCAGTTTCTCCGTTTTTCTCTCCGCTCCCTGTCAACGCCGCCTCGTAACTCGGCAGCCGCCATATTGAGTAACTAGCCAAGCAGCCGGTGCGGTGGCGCGTAGTTGGAATTATCCGCGGCGGAACCTACTCGCGTTCGAATTAACAGGCTTCTTTATTTATAGGCTTGTATGGAGCTTGGCCAGACCATAACTTACAGTTCGAGTTATCCATAAATTCGAATTATTGAAGTTCGAATTAACGGGCTTTCACTGTGCTCTTTGTGCATTTTATCTAGGATGCGTTCAGAGCTCTTTGTTGTCTTGAAAGCTGAGATGCATGGCCTTTTGTGCATTGCTTTCTCCGCTGAATTCACACCAGCTCCCCTTAATTCATTAGGGGTGGCATACTCTTCGAGTATGTTACACACTCACAGATTCAAATGTGACATCATGCTTTTTTAACGTAACAATTGGTACACGCTGTGACTAGATATTGCCGTGTCACGTCGCTATGAATTTGGCTGCTGAAACTGATGTGTACTCTGATGCAAGTCCTCGAGTCAAAATTACATCAGTATGACACAAACTAAAAGCACAGGAAATGAAAGTAAACCTTAAATTTTCAAACTGCATTCATGAGTACTGTACAACTACGACTTGAGCCTCTTTTGACTAGGCTGAGTGTCTTGTGCTCTGACGTCAGGTTGTGCGAGTCGTGTTGCCAGAGCTGGCGACTCGGTGGCCCTACCCCGGTGAGCCCCTGCTTCGAGCTGTGCTCAGCCTGGAGCCTTCGCCATGGCTGTTCCAAGCCCTTCTGCGGCTCTCGTCACCCGCAGAGCCGTTGTTCATTGCTGCCGCTGCACACCTTTCACCCTGCCTCACTCACAAGACGGTGAGCATCCTTTGTGGCATCTTGCAGTGGAGGTGTTGTGGGTCTATGAACACTAGTATTAGTAGTAGTGGTAGTAGTAGTAGTAGTAGGAGCAGCAGCGGCCGCGGCGGTAGAAGTAGTAGTAGTAGTGGCAGTAGTAGTAGCAGTAGTAGTGGTCCCAAGTTTGCCTAAGTATAGAGAACTGATGGAAGTGTTTTACATTGCCAAAGAAAGGTGCCTTTGCATTAGTAACACTCCTGTAGGACTGTATAAATGCAATAAAAAGTTTATTGAGCATGTGTTACCTGTGTGTCATTGACGTGAACATGTTCTCTGTGCATGCGCTGACAAAGGTACATATGTAATTTACATGTATTTCTGCAAGTGCACTCAAACCTCGTAATAACGTAATGGGATATAACGAAATAATGCATATACCGAAGTAAATTAAATTCTCCTTGAAAGCTTCATTGAGAACCATGCATTTTAAACCTAAAGTAAAATTGACTGTCAAATGGACGTTGCGGGCGTAGCGGTAGCGTTCGTTGCTCAACAGGAGCCCTCAAAAGGTAAGCGTTGGACGTCAGTATTGGGCTGATGGCTATTTAACAGAATTGTCCGCAGTTTCCTTCTTAAGATATAAAGTTTACCATCAATCCCAGTTTTAGGTACACAACCGGCCCAACGCGTCTTGGTGGCTTTCAGCAGCCATCACTAGTAGCGAACACAAAACTCGTAGACTCCGAAGGGCCTACCAGCGGCCCTGTTGTCGTTCTTTAGTGCATTATCAATCACTTGCAACTTGAAAGCAGCCGTACAGCTTCAGCATCGCCTCATAACTTGACAAAGTTACCAATGCAACATACAAAATATGCCGCAACGCACACTGGCCACTTCGGCTTGGCTTGAGTTGGATTGAATCTCTGTGCAATAGTACGCTTCATGCTTAAGGGGGGAGGTGGGGATCGAAAGTGAAATTCTTTAGTTTTTGTCGTAGAGCAATGAAATTTGGCATGCTTACTGGAAACTGCGCTAAATGATAAATGACAAAGTTTCATTCAGCTATCTCCAGTAGTTCTGGCATTATAAATTTTTTTATCCATCAGTGTACTACCAAACTTGCCCAAAGTCTGGTGTGACAAAAAAACATGGTAGAAGCCTATAGTTGCTCTTATATTTTAGCCATTGGGATGGTTGGTGTCGTGACATTCTGCAAATATTTTTATGACTCTGTTTTTATTTTACAGAGAACATTGTATACATGCTTGTAAATGTGGTCGTTATCATAATGTGAAATTAGCTTAGGAGTAAAAATACTGAGGTAGTAATTAACAAATATGAAAACGTCACGACATAGAAAATTCACTGAGGAACACAATGCAAAAAACCACATGAAAATCCGTCAAGCCATAGTCATGCAAGCATCGTGGCAAGCTGGACAGTCGGGTCAAAACACGTTTCTGAGAAAACTGGCGTTAAAGTTGAACAGTCAGTAAAGGTCCATCAAAATGCCCCGGGACTGTAATACTTTGTGTCTTTGCTTGCGAGGGTCTTCTTACGTCCTTTCTCTTTCATTTTTTCTGCACTGCGTGCTTTTCGTTTTCTTTGCTGGTCTTTTTCTTCAGCTCTTTGAAGGGCGAGGCTAGCAGGTTTGATGCCCACGGACTTGCACATTTCAGTTTAGGCTCGCAAATTCCCAAAATTGTAGCGTGCAACTGCTTCATGTACTGTTGTCTCCACTGCGAACAATGAAGCGTGTTGGTCCTTTGAAGTCAGTGACCAAATAACTGAATGCAAGCTTTCCGCCGCATTCTGAGTTTTGTTGCCTTTGCATCGCTCCAACAGTTGCGGGTCAGAGAGACGTTGGTATACAGGCAGCAGAGCCTCCGCTACACGTTTCGACAGGTTATACCTGTGAGGTGGTGCTGGCTCCATTTTGGCCTGTGCTGAACGATGTTTGCACCAGCTATCAGGGCCAGGTGGGCAGAGCTCATGGTGAGGCTCGTCGTCGGTGGACGTGACGTGATAAAAAGTGGCCATCACGGCCCTTTGCATGTCAGGGACACTTGTGTGTTTTCGCAAGGCTAACCCGTAGTAGCTGGTCAGTTTTTTAATCAACTCCTGCGTCAGTCCACCTCTCCCACCCAATGGCTCCCCTTTCTTAGCTCTTGTCACCAGTGTGCGGAGAGCGGTGCCCATTCTCTTCTGCACATGGTTCACGCAGTCTTCTTTGGTCAGTGGTATGAAGCCGTACACCTCATCTTTGCACAGAGCAAGATAGGTTCGGCTGTCACCATCACGTATAATGTTGGTGTAGCGGAGGCCATACCTGCTGACAGAGCGCCTGAAAAGTGTCAGAGCAGCCTCCACTTCCATCTGTCCGGAGCCAACATCAGTATTCTTCTGACATTGATGTTTCTCAGCCCAAGTGACGAAGTTGGGGTCGCTCTCTGCTGGTTGTTGACAACACCCAAGACAGAAGTTGGAAAGGACTGTGCAATCCAGCACAAGCCCCGTGTAAAACTCAATAATACATCCTACCCCAATGTGTGAGCTGTGGCCTCTTGTAAGCCACGTGCCGTCATACACAACTGTGATGTTGTTTGGGCTTGATGGCTGCATCTTACTGTACACGTCTTTTACCGCAAGCACAGCATCTGCAAAGATGTTTTGTGCAGCTTCCTCTGCTCCTGGTTTGAATGTTTTTTTTAGGTGTTCCTGATAGGTTTTTTGATGAATGCCCCAATGAGAGACATTCATTGTAGCCCAGAAGTCATTCAGGGCAGTGGGCCCTTTTCCAATGGACTTGATTGCTTGCATGGCTCTTAGGTTGACTTCAAAAGCCCTTCCTTCGGATTTTCTACTGGATGACCAAGGTGAATGAATAGGGCCACAGGAAGCACACAAAAGTACCAGTTTTACTGCCAGGCCCAATTTTGTCCCATGCTGCACTGACAAAGTCTTCTTACAACATTTTGGGCAGAGTGCAGGTCCTATTAGGGAATTCATTGCAGAAACCTGAATTAGGGTGAACTCATCCTCTTTTGTTGCCGATGTTTGCTCCGTTTGCTGCGCGAACCCGAACTTCCGCTCCGTTGCCGACACCTCGCGAAGTGCATCGCGGACACTGCTGGCTTGCTTCTCGGCGCCTTCCGAGGACACGAAACGAGGTTCCAGGTGTATTTGAACGGTGCGCTTCCGCTGAGGCAAACGATCGCCGACATCCTGGACAGCTGGCATCACGTCGTCGTCCGCCGCCGCGAAAAGGAAACTTTTCTCGCGTTCACACCGCACCGTGATGCCGCGGCTAGTTGATGGCCCCGGGTCTTCAGTGTCACTGCCAGGCGTCGATTCACCGTCACTTTGAACAGCCGGCACCGCATCGTCACCCGCCGCAGCGAAAACGAAACTTCTTTCGCGTTCGGGCCGCACCGCAACGTCGCGGCTAGTTGACGGCCCCGCGTCATAGGCCTCACTGCCGAGCATCGGCAGCGAGCAGGTGTCGGCTTCCGACGACACGTAGCTTGGTGGCGACGCGGTACTCGGTTCGTCTGATTCAATCGCTGCTGACTGCTTCGTTTTCCCAACAGGAGGCTTGCGTTTATGCTTCCCGTAAGCGTACTTCGTCCTGCGCTTCCGGTCCACGCGACGATCCATTGCGGGCGCTAAGCCTCGCGCTAGAGAAGAGTTGGCGTATCGGCGACTGTATCGGCGTATCGGCAGGGGATTCGCAAACTATAGTGCGCCAGCGTGTGCGTAGCAGACGTGCGTGCGCGGAGCAGACGACCAGCGCAAGCAAGCGCGTCCCAGCAGCCACTCACAGAGCGCGCTCAGTACCACGTGACAGGAGCGACCAATGGGTGCACGTCTAAGGCGTCGCGGATGCCTTCGCATTTTTTCTGTTTGTGCGTTTATCTTAGCTCGTAGAGTCGTGGTTTCACCGGGAGAAGTACGGCGGTGAAGCAAGCTTTCCAGTGACACCAAGCTTTCCGCGAGCGGCGGCGAAGGCGCGGAAGTATCGCGCTCGGAAATGGGCCATTTTCGCGCAGATTTCAGCCAGCTTTTTGCGATCCGCGGTCAGAAAAACATTTTTTAAGCTTACTTTGAGATCGTTTTCGGCGGAAATATTTTTAGATATGATAGAAATGGTGATGCAGAATCCAAATCTGCCCTTATCCAAAATTCGTTTTTTTGCGAGAATTTCGCGATTTGATCCCCGCGTCCCCCCTTAAGAGATGGCGCCAGATGACGTGCGCTATCATAATCAATGGCTGGAAAGTGCAGACGACATTATTGCAGTAGTTTTCATGGGTGCGATAATTACTTGAGGAAAAAAGAAATCGTATTTTTGTTGGGTGTGGGGGGTGCGAGAATTGTGCGAGTGCGAGGATTATGCGAGTGAATACGGTAGCTGATCTGAGCTAGCAAAACAAAGGAACGTTTATTCTCAAAATTCCAAAAAATGTCCACTGCTTCCTATCCTTTCGCTGCAGTGTCACGACGTCATTCTTACCCATGCATAGCGAGGCCATGGTGAAAAGCACGCTGAAACAACGCCTAAAACGGCCTTCGTGAACAAACCAAACAGTTGCATTTCAACACATTAACACCGGCAGCTGTCCGCCGTCACAAGTATCCGACAACGCCGAGATGGAGGCAGGGTATCGTGGAGCGGCGACTTTGGCATTATTTTATGCCATTCTTATCATCCATCGCTCGCGGCTAGCTGATTTTGTTGATAATGCGGAGAAACAGCCACATTTATTAGTTACCGCACTGGCCAAGCGGGAACATAATGATAAGCATCGGAATCGGAAAAGGCATTGTTCTGCAGTTGCACCCAGTAACCTCCATAGCTGCGTGAAGGAAACCATTAACTATAGTGAATATGATCTAGTGGCGCGAACGGGAGGCCCTGGCTGCTGTCTCGGCGGTCCAAAACGGCACAGACGTCCGCTAGGATTTCTCGTGGCGCCACTGCGCCTTTTCATGTCATGGGCATGAGGCGAGCGCGCGCCGGCGGCGTCTTCTCTGGATAGTGCGGGCAGCTCGGGAGTCAATCAGTGCGTGTGCGTGAGTATGTCGTCTTGAGCCACAGCCACTTGAAGAAACTCAAAGCCTGGAAGCTCTACCTCGTATGTCAACGGGCTGACAAAGCTGGTTGCGTTGTGTGCTGTGGTGGCACACAACACAACCGACGCCAGCATTCGGCGACGCGTTCGCATCGATGTTGCAGTGCCTGCAGCATTACTGCACTGTGACCGAGAAACAACGAATGTTGCATCGTTCTGTGTGTGCCGTCGCGCTCTCGGTAGTTGTGATGTGTGCTTTGTGGTTGTGCTCGTGTTCGTAGGTGAGTGACCAGATTGCAATCAGCTGTGGTTCCAAGGAAGTGTTGTGTCCACATTTCTGTGGAAATTGTGAATCTGTGCTGTGAGTGTATGTATCTGTATTCCCGACTGACTAAGATGAGCAGAAGGCGTAGATACAGGCTATCCTAAGAGATAGGGTGAGCCCATCACATGAAAAAGTAAATATGCTGCTTTTCTTTCATTTCTTGTATTGTACTACACCTAGTACCGTGTTATTCCATGTAACTTTTATCCCATGCGCACGTTTTGAAGTACGCATTAAGGCCAATACCATAAACGAGAAGCATAATGCTGTTACTTTTTTGCCATTCGCAGATGTCGGTAATAATTTTTAGCCCGAGTGGGCCAGCAACGGCCAGCAGGAAATCCTATCTTTTTATTCCTCTGCCTCGCCTGCGTGCTTTTCAACAAGTGTTCTTGCTTTACGCGTACTGCGCTCTTGTGGGCCATGGGCCACATAAAAGAGTGAAGTGATTGAGCGTCTCTTGCAGGACGGATTATTGCATTTCCAGTTCTAACAAGCTACTATACTGCATGTGCACGTGTGCCGGTGCAATCTGCTGCGTTCTCTCGCCAGTACTTGGTGGAGTCTGTAGTTTGTGAGATATCCTGCACCAACAAACATGTAGCTTGCAACATGTTGAAGCGGAGAACGAATTCTCATTGCTTTGCTCCGGGTTGCCCAATCCGTAACCGGGGTGCTCCGAAGGCGTCGCTGTTTCCAGCTCCCTGTGATGACGATCTCCCCAGAAACTGTGAGCGCAACCTCCGGAGGGCTGAGAAGTCTTTGACTGTAAACTTCAGCGGTGTGTGAACATCATTTGAAGCCAAGATGTATACTGCGCAAATATGTGCATGTGATAAACAACAGTGAAGTGCGCATTCCCCGAGGAAAGTCGTCAATGATTCCTGATGCCACTTCAATGCTTTTGCCAGGTTGTCCACGCAGTAACTAACCTCGTAATTGTACGTTTGCACGAACCAGAAAGCAAATGCGCGTTAGAAGTAACCACATCTGCAGATCTGCAGGAGTCCGCGACGGCCCGACAACACAGCCGAAGCTGGCATGAAAAGTAGCAGTGGCGCCACCTGGTAGCATCTGCGTGAAAGCTGACGCCAGAGCCCAGCTGGTCGTGCCACTAGATCATATTCTAGTTCACTATACCATTAACTGAATGACTGAGCTTCAGCTTCGGATCGTCTGCGACTCAAAAGCAAGCCAGGGGCAAAAGTAGGGCCAGGGCAGTCTCGTTGCCATTGCTATCGAGCAATGGTGGCGCCCATGCTTGCTGAACAGTGGCGGTATAGCGGCCGTTTCTGGTGATGCCAATGCGTGTTTTACACTTCGTTTACGCATTTTCAGGCTCTGAAAATGCGTCAAAATGTTAAAGATTGAGTTTACTGGAAATAAATAAGTATCTGAGCCTGGAATTGCATTCTAAAGTTTCGTTGAAGCGGAACGATTGAGAAAATGTGTTCGTTGTGGCGACAATATTTATGCATTGACTCCTATGGACTGCTGACGGAGAACCATGAATTTTTTGTTGTTATAGAAATCTCTCTCAAGCAGCGTTCGTTGTAGCGGAGTTCGACTGTATACACTAGAGGGAACTCTGGCACTAGTGTCAATGGGAACTGCAACGCACGGTTCTTAAGTGAGCATTGGAATGATGGGTGGTACACGGATTTGTCTAGTCTTCATACTTCTTGCTCCGTGTGTGTTCGTGTGGCTTGGAGGCATTTTAAAGTCTTCACCGGTTGTGCTTCACCACCTTATTATTTTAAGCTTACCATTTTAAATCGGGTCACAAAGCTCAAAAAGGTTCATTCTTTCCTTCGAAACAAAACTGAAACACAGCGATAAATGAAGTCAACAGGTGTGATTTGCCACCCGCAAGTACGAAGACTAGGCAAATCCCCGTACTACCCATCATTCCCATGGTCGCTGAGGGATAGGAGTGCCAGAGTCTCCTCTAGATAATTTTAGAAAACTCTATGGTAAATTGTACTCCGAGAACTGTGATGCCATCAGTTTGATGTCAGGTTTGTTAACAGCGGAGAAAATCCAGGTGAAAGTTTCACATTCGATTTTCGTGCTGAAGTCTCCATGTGGGATGTTGCGGATTCTCAAAGTGTACCTTTTGTATATTCATGTCGTTGGTTCAACAAAATCTCTTGAAGCTTGTTCTTTTATGTCTATGGTCACGTAAAAGGACACCAGGCTGCATTTTTACTGATTAGAAACAACACAGAATCAAGTAGATGCCGTTAAAATCTATGACGCCACAATGTTTGGTGCGGGAACATCGAGGTATTGTTGACACCTGCATTTTCTTCTGGTGTGTTTTCTCGATAACCAGGCATCTTTTCACGGAATGCATGGTGATTTTGAAATTGTGAAAGAGCAATTTATTAATATGAGAGAAATTATTTCTTTTTTTAGTGTCCCTTTAAAATCGAAAGGAAATATCCACATGCCCGAACTATCTCTTAGATCGAAAATGCATATTGTTTCCTTCCTTCTTCAGACAGCATTATGACTGTAGGATTATTTATGGAATTTTGAGTTCACTGGCTGGCAGGTACGGCAGTTGCGATGCTTGTGCTTGCATTTGCTAACCACTGTGCTTCTTAATCTGTGGATCCAGGAGAAGTCCAGCTACGAAGACCTGGACGCCGATGAGCTGAGCCCGGTCGACGAAATCTGGAGCGGGGATGGCTACTCGTCCTCTTCGTCACTTGCCGACGAGGCACTGGAGGACGTACTGCAGCAGCTCAATGCGTCGTCCACAGTGAACACAGTTTCTGGAGGCTGCGCTGTCGAGCCGTGAGAACCTCCCGGCGCTGTGCCAGCTGGGCTGGGCCCTGTTGCAGCGGCGTCCTCTGGCCCTGCACCACTTCCGGCTGCTCTACACGCTGGCCTTCCGACCTCAGTTCCTGCGGCAGCTGTGGGAGGCGCTCAAGGATGTTCGAGTTCCGTCACTATTTGTGTAAGTGCTAGGTATTATAAAAAAAAATGGGCATATTTGTCATGACCTAACTAACCTGCACAGCATTTATTTTTTTTAAAGGTCAATCAACAGGCTCCTACTTTTATTTTAGACACCCCAAACAAGCTCGGCAATTCGTAGTGTAAACTACAGAGATCCCATTTTCTGAATATTATAAAGCTGCGCACCGTGCAGAGCCTCTATTTCGAAAAACAATTCCAGCGCTCCTTTCCTATGCCGGACCAATGCTCCTTCCACGTGCAGTAATGCCAACTCGGCGATCGGCGACAAAATGCAGCACGCAGCTCGTCGATTGATCTAAACCAGGTCTCAACTAACAGTTCCTGTTCCCACCCACAGCTACGACAGAGCTATTCAATCATAAGAATTGTGAAACTCTCCATAGGCTACATGCATTGAAATCAAGACACTTCACTAACCCAGTTTTTGGCAAGACACTTCACTAATCCAGTTTTTGGCAGTGAGCAGATTGTCGTGCCACCTGTTGATCAGCACACCCACTGTTAAACTATTATTTGTGTTTTGTGTTGGGGCTCCCAGATGGAACGAAAGTGTGCTTCTGAAAAATCGAACTCTCGAAAAAATTGGACCAACTTCATGTCCGGGCTTTGGGACGCAGTTTTGCTGCAAATCGTGTCAGCTGCAAATTGACCGACTGGGCTGCGGAGAAGCATCGGCACCAGGTGAACAGTAAACAACCAGACATCTCGGCAAGCGCAAGCGGAAATGCTTTGCGACTGGTCGAATTCGCCGGTGACGTCAATTGCCGACATCTTGTCACGTTGCCAAGTGTGGGCGGAGTCACGACGACGGGCTATGCCTTCCCCTCCCTTCAAAGGAGGAGGGTGATGAGGCTGCATGAAAATTTGAAACCAGCTGAAAGCGATGTTCTAGCCCCTGTAACTTCTTTAAGGGGGGACTTGACAATGAAAATTATCTTTGTTATTTATGAAGCTTAAGGGATGAACTTTGGCATGCGGATGTCATTTGTTGTGCTGATATCATAACTGAAATCGGTATTGAGCTATCTAATATATAACTTGTGAGTTACAACTTTTGATAGACTCTCATTGTCACCCCAATATAAATTGGCTAATTAGACACAAGTTCATCAAAATTTTTGAAACGGATATTTACAAGGATACATTTTGTGCCATAATGCTATTGGGGGTGGTACGCCGTCGTTCTTCGGTGATCTGTGTTGCTGTAGCGTAAGATTCCTTGCATGAGCTCCGCAGTGAAGGTCGTTCCGCGGTCCGTGATTAGGACCTCAGGGGCTCCACGTCGCAGCACAATTTGGTTAATAAAGAACTTTGCAACTTCTTGTGCAGTTCCCCTAGGAAGAGCGGTGGTCTCTGCGTAGCGCGTCATGTAGTCTGTCACTACGACAATCCATTTGTTCGCGGATCGGGATGTAGGGAACGGGCCCAGAAGGTCCATTCCGATCTGTTGGAAGGGCCTCGTTGGGACGGCGATCGGCTGCAGAAGTCCGGCGGGTCTCGTCGGTGGTGTTTTTCGTCGCTGGCAGTCACGGCAGCTCCGGACGTAGTGGGTGACATCAGATGTAAGGTGGGGCCAGAAGTATTTCGCCTTGATTTTTGTAATCGTGCGAGCTGTTCCAAGATGTCCGGAAGACGGGTCGTCGTGGCACGCTTCCAAAATTTTGTCACGAAGGTCTGCGGGGATGACAAGTAGATAATTCGTTCTCGTTCCGGGGTTGAAATTCTTCTTCACTAGGATGGAGTTTTTGAGGCCGAATGCTGGTAAGTTGCGCTTGAACGCCCTAGGCACGGCGACGTTGCGTCCTTCGAGGTAGTCGATCATGGCGCGGAGGTCAGGGTCGGCACGCTGCTGGGCGGCTAGGTCGCTCTCTGTCACGACTCCGAAGAACGCGCTGTCTTCATCGGAGTCCTGTGGTGGTGGGTCGACGGGGGCGCGGGACAGGCAGTCGGCGCCGGAGTGTTTCTTGCCGGATTTGTAGAATATTGTAATGTCGAACTCTTGCAGGCGCAAGCTCCACCGCCCAAGACGGCCAGAGGGGTCCTTCAAATTGACGAGCCAACACAGCACATGATTGTCTGTCACAACCTTAAACGGTCTACCATAGACGTATGGGCGAAATTTTGAAATGGCCCATACGATAGCCAGGCACTCCTTCTCGGAGGCAGAGTAGTTTCTCTCCTCCTTTGACAGACCACGGCTTGCATAGGCGATTACCTTTTCGTAACCGCTTTGCTTTTGGACGAGGACGGCACCCAAACCGATATCACTGGCGTCCGTGTGCATTTCCGTTTCGACGTTTTCGTCGAAATGAGCAAGCACGGGCGGGTTTTGCAGGCGTTGTTGCAGCTCGCAGAATGCCTTTTCTTGGTCGTTTTCCCAGCTGAAAGGGGTGCTTTCTTTCGTCAGGCGCGTGAGTGGCTCTGCAATGCGTGGGAAGTTTGCGACGAAGCGCCGGTAGTATGCGCACAGTCCGAGAAACCTTCGCACACCCTTCTTATCTTTCGGCCTCGGGAAGTTCGCAATGGCTGATGTTTTTGCCGGATCAGGTAGGACTCCCGCGACGTTCACGACGTGACCCAAGAACTTGAGTTCCTCGTACGCGAAACGGCACTTCTCAGGCTTCAGCGTTAACTCCGACGTACGAATGGCCTCGAGTACAGATTCCAACCTTGTGAGGTGTTCGTCGAAAGTCCGGGCGAATACGACAACGTCGTCGAGGTATACGAGACAAGTGTGCCACTTCAGGCCTGCTAGCACAGTGTCCATGACTCTCTGAAACGTTGCGGGCGCCATGCACAGCCCAAACGGCATCACCTTGAACTCGTATAGACCGTCCGGGGTTATAAATGCAGTCTTCTCTCGGGTATCTCTCATCCACTTCAATTTGCCAGTAGCCGGTCTTCAGATCCATGGATGAGAAGTACTTGGCGTGGCAGAGGTGGTCGAGGGCGTCGTCGATTCATGGCAGGGGGTAGACGTCCTTTTTGGTGATTTTGTTTAGTCTCCGGTAGTCAACGCAGAATCTTAAAGTGCCATCTTTTTTCTTCACGAGTACAACCGGCGCAGCCCACGGACTTTTCGATGGCTGTATTATGTCGTCGCTGAGCATGTCATCTATTTGAGTCCGGATGGCTTCGCGCTCGTGTGAAGAAACGCGGTACGGTGACTGTTTGGTAGGTCGGGCTCCATCTTCGGTTATTATCCGGTGCTTCGCCAAAGGTGTCTGACGTAACTTCGAGTTCGAGGAAAAACACTCGCTGTAGCGACGGAGCAACTCCAGTAATCTGTCCCGATTTTCTTGCGACAGCGCCGGGTTCACGTCGAAAGGATGTGGCAGCCTGGAAGCATCTGCGCGTGTGCAGTTCAAAGGTGGCGACCGCGATCACTTGACTCGCTTCTTGCGTTTCTTCGAGGAATGCAATCGCAGCGCCCTTGTGTAGATGCTGGTACTCCTCGGTGAAATTGGTGACCAAAACGTGGGATCTGCGTTGCTTAAACCGCGCAATGCCTCTTGCGACAGACACACCATGGTCTAGAAGCAACCTTTGGTCAGTCTCCACGATAGCGTCGACGTCAGGAGCAGCACCTTCACAATAGACGCCGATCATCAAGCTTGCGCGGGGTGGCAGGGTGACGTGATCGTCGGCGATCCTTACAGCAGCGCGGTGTCCGAGGTTCGGCTGCGGCGTCGTGGAGGGATCGGAAGAAAACGTTATTGACCTGGTCTGCAGATCAATTATTGCGCCATTGTCCGTCAAAAGTCCATTCCGAGAATTACGTCGCGGGAGCAGTTAGGCAAAATGACGAACTCCGAAGGGTACGTAGTGCCGTCTATGGTGACGCGCGATGTGCACATTCCACTTGGGGTCACGAGGTGGCCTCCTGCTGTGCGTATGTGCGGACCGTCCCATCTGGTCGTAACTTTCTTTAGCTTGGACGCGAATGACTCGCTCATGACCGAGTAGTCAGCTCCCGTGTCGATGAGGGCGACTACGTCAAGGCCGTCGATGGACAACTGGACGTCGGATGCCGCTTTCCTCGAATTTCGGGTGCGTCGGGGCGTCGTGTCACGGCTTGCGCGTGTTGATGGTCGGGCACTATGCGTTGTCATCGTCGTCTTCTCAGCGGCAGGCTTCGTCATTTCGGGTACGCGTCGCGCAGCGTAGCTGTCGTCGTTTTCGGGGGTCTCGTCAGGGTGTCGTCGGGTCGTCGGGATGAGGGCATGTCGTGAATCACGGTCTTGCGTCGTTGGAGGGTTTTCATTTTCTCGCCATTGTGCAACTTCACCTCCAGAAGTTGCTGCTTTTAGTTTCCCCCTCGTGGGCTGGGGGACCTTCCACGGGCGAAGTCAGCATTGCTGCGACGGTTGGGGGATTGGTACGGGTAGGGCGACGGCGAACGGTTGAAACGGGATGGTCCACGGCTGGTGTTCGACAGGTATTCTTCGATATCAAATGGGCGCTGGCCGGCTCGCGGGCGGGGTGCGTCGACGGAGAATCCCACGAGAACCCAGCCTCTTGTACGGGCAGCGGCGGTAGACGTGGTCGGCCTCTCCGCAGTGGTAGCACAGCGGACGATTATCTGGCGTTCGCCACACCTCGGTCTTCCTGGGTGCCTGGTTTCGGGTTACAAGGGGTCGGGCGGGCGACATTGGGCGGCGGTAGGGCGGGGCCTCTTGATAACGGGTTGGGACGGGTCGGGGTCGACGAGCAGCAGCGAAGTAGGTCATCGCTTGTGGTTCGCAAGGTGCTTCCGACGGCATGGAATTCCCCAGTGCTTGCTGAACCTCCTCGCGGACGGCGTCAGTGAGGGAGGCGACTTGGGACTGCGGCGTTGCTGGGAACAATTTCCTCAGTTCCTCGCGAACGACGGCGCGGATGGTCTCCCGCAAGTCTTCCGTCGCCAATCCAGGGGCGTTTACCGGGTTCACCGAAAGGGTGTTGAGTGGTCTATCGTATTGCCGCGAACGCATATCCAAGGTCCTCTCGATCATCGAAGCCTCGGTGACGAACTCAGCGACGGTCTTAGGGGAGTTGCGGATGAGTCCAGCGAAGAGCTCTTGTTTAACTCCCCGCATCAGAAAGCGCACCTTCTTCTCTTCTGCCATTTCGGGGTCAGCTCTCCGGAACAGCATCTTCATCTCCTCAGCGAACAGTACAACACCTTCGTTAGGGTGTTGCATTCGCGTCTCCAACAAAAGGGCGGCTTGTTCTTTCCGCACAACCGTAGCGAATGTTTTGAGGAATTCACTCTTAAAGACAGTCCAGTCGGTTAGGGAGCCTTCATGGTTCTCAAACCACGTTCGAGCTGCATCCTCCAAATAGAAGAAGACATGACGAAACGTTTCTTCGTCATCCCACCTGTTAAAGATGCGGACGCGCTCCACCTTCTCCAGCCACTCTTCCGGGTCTTCACCAGGAGATCCTCGGAATGATGGGGGCTCACGGGGTTGTTGCAGAACGACGGGAGGGTTGGTAGCGCTGGTCATGGTGCCTGCGTTGATCATCGTGGTTTTTACGTATTCTTTCCTTTTTTTATCCGGGAGCAGTCCAAACTCTGGCTGAAGGCCTCGCTGTCGGCGGCTGACACGAGTTGGGCGTGCTTGTCGTGTTGGGCTTGCTTGTCGGCTTGGCAATGGCTTAGGGTTCATGTACCCCGCACCTCCACCAGATGTCACGCAGCAAAGGACGACACAGTTGTCTATAAGGAAGACAAGTTTATTGGAGCGAACCTGTGCTCCCCTAACAACTGAAATAATACACAGGCGGCGAAGCAGCGGCCGGCAAAACGACGGGCACGCTAGTGAGCGTCGGCGATCGAATGTCGCGGCATCGGCTGTGCGGGAATTTGTATCCCTCGGCGCGAGGGTTTCTCGAATAGTCGAATTGTATCGAGAACGCCGTGATAGCGTTTGTTCGAAACGCTGTTCGTTCGGAACTGCTCGAAGCGCTGTTCGGTAGCGTTTGTTCGAAACGCTGTGATAGCGTTTGTTCGAAACGCTGTGAAAACAGTGATAGCCCAGGCCGGCGCAGCCAGGCCGAAAAAACAAACACAAATAAACAAACCCAATGCATGGTTCGCGGCAATACTTACAAGGATACATCTTGTGCCATAATGCTATTGGCTTATTTTTAATATTTAAGTAAGCACACAAAATTTTTTTTCTGAAATGTCCTGGGCATATTGTCTTACCAACAACTCTTACAAAATGCCAATTGAAAAAAACTGCATGATGTGCACACAAATATGGACAGCTTTACGAAACTTATATAAAGAAGTTGAAGGGGAGCCACAATTATTTCGTTATATCCATTATTTCATTATATCGGTTATAACAGTTTGTGGCGCACACCTATAAAGACGACGGGTTGGGACGGGTCGACGTCAGTGAGGGAGCATGCATAGAAACTGCCTCGCATGCATATAAGCATGCATAGAAACTGCCTCGCGGCCCTATGTATCGTTACGCGACCACGCGTGCCACGGAAAATAAACTAAGTCGAATCTCATTTATTCGAACTTTCGGGTAATTCGAACTCACGCTGAGGTCCCGTCTAAGCTATGTGTATTCCGATGAGCGAAAACGCCCTGTAATTAAACGCACAAGCACTTGCGACGGTTAATCCGAACATACCGCGCTCCAAAATTCTCTCAGCACAATGCCCCATCCCGCGGCGGCACCTCTCAACGCTGCGCGTGAAGAAGGAAAAGAAGAAAAGGAAAGAAAAGACTGTGGCAGATTGTTTGTTTGCTCTCCCTCAAATGCCGATCTGCGACGCGCCTGTTCCACGCTTCTCCATTTTCCCTCTCTGCATGTAGAGCAAGGCCGTGCGCAGAGAGAGAGAAAAAAAAAAGAAAGTCGTTGCAGAGTCGTCCTTTTTTGGTGCAGAGGGTAACAGTTATGGTAGCAGCGGGGATGCAGTCGTTGCCGTCGTGAAGAAAATCGCTTGGCACCGCGGCGCCGCTTCTCGGTCATGTGACCCGCTGAGCGCTTCCTCAATGCTCTCCGCTGCCTGTGTAAGGAAGACGGCTCTCTTGGCCACGCGGGGCGTGGCTGTAAGGTCGTCGCGGGAGTTTTGAAAGAGCCGCGCCGAACGAGCCTTAAACTCCGCAGAAAATGATATACTTAACCCACTACGGTCCTTTTTTTTATAGACTATTTGATAGACTAATTTAGTTCGTTATATACATTTACTATTCAATTTTACTTTGTTACAATGAGGTTTAAAATGCATGGTTCTCAACGTAGCTTTCAAGGTTAATTTAATTTACTTCGTTATATCCATTATTTTGTTATATCTCGTTTCGTTATAACAAGGTTTGAGTGTAGCTTAATTTATTGGGAAATGGCACAGGGATGACTGACAGCGACTGCTCAAAAAATGAAACCTGAGTAAATGAAGCTCAAAGAAATTGGAGCTAGAAGCTGATAAAACGGAACTTGGAAGGAAGCTGGCTTTATTTTTCATTGGAGAAATGCATCTTTGAGGCTATGTTGAGCTCCAATCTGTCCTCTTTATGGTGATGCCAATGTGGTGGCACTTTGCCAAGGGAAAGCTGTAAATTTGCATTTTGCTACGCCCAATTTTCACATAGCTTTTGACAGCAGCCCACCAGTAAAATGCTTGTTTCTCAACTTCTACTTTTTATTTTGATCTAAAATCGCACTGTGATGTAAAACATGGTCTCAGGATTACAGAAAAAAAATAATTGAAAAACTGAACATTTTGACCAAACTTACAATTCCCATTGCCCTTAATATTGCTCGTATTTACGGAATTCTCGCTGCAGCATGTTTACGAAGTAAAAGTGTACATACCTATTTCTCTTTAAAGCCATTTTTGGGCCTTGGGATTGTTCACTGGCCCTTTAAATTTAAACAAGGTATGTGCAAATGGCATTTTTTTTTGTTCGTGGGAGGTGGAAACAAACTTGAATAGCAAGATTTAACTTTCGGTAGAATGCCTGTGATAACCTATTTGATTGACTGATTGATATGCGAGGTTTAACATCCCAGAACCACCATATAATTACATTAGACTTCTTAAAACGAAACCTGAAGGGACCGGGAAAATGTGTTTCCTTTAAGAGGAGTTTCGTTTACTGAGAGATTAATGGCGTTACAACATTCAAGTAGAAAACCAAACATATTATTGGTAGTTGTCCCATTTAAGCAGCAATTTCAATTAAGAGAGTTTTGTTTAATGGGAGTCTACTGTATGAGAAACGCTGTAGTGGAGGGCTCCGGAACTTTTGACCACCTGGGGTTCTTTAACGTGCATCCAAATCTGAGCACACGGGACTACAGAATTTTCGTCTTCATAAAAAATGCAGCCACCGCAGCCAGGGAGTCGCAGCGGGACGTACGCCGCCTCAGCGCAAAGCCCTTCTGCTTCATAAATCGGTGCACCCACGATGACGACCTCTTGAATTGTGCCCTCGTGAGCCGGGAGTCGCGCAACATCTCGATAGATTTCACTCAGATGCACTCTGCTGGCATGGGTTGCGACCTTGCAGGCAGCTCCTGGACGAATTCGGCGAGTAGCGTTTCCAGTTCACAGGGCACTGCAGTCGTTCGTTTCCGAAACGAAGTTTTTTTTTGTTATTGTTGCTGTAGAATGTGATGCGCTGCTTTTGACTCCTCCAGTGTCAGACGCTTTTCTGCGATGCACCGAATTCCCCTTGTTCCACCAGGTTGCAGTGCGCTTCGGCGTACTTGATAACTTCTTTCTTAAAGCCTATCGTAAACTGCCGTCGACTACCAGCGATTTCTGAAGGAAATAAAAGAAGAAAACAGCAGACTGATCGAGATAACAGAAGCAAAATGGCATTGCTAGTACACTGTAGGCCTTTGGCTAGCCTTGCCCTACGGCGCAGCTGCTGATGCTCATGATGGCAATGGTTTTTGACTGGCTGCCCATTGTTATGAGACTTCCACATTTTTTTCTGCCAAAGACCGGTATATAAGACGAGGGCCGATTTTTTATTGCGTTGTTTTGAAAGAAGTCTACCTATATTCTGGTTTTTACGGTAGTTTCATTTTGACTCAGTTTGTGTAGGCTGTGCACATGCCTTCAGAACTGCATAGACATCGCATCGCTAATGACCGTAGTTTCATTCAAAGTGGATGCGGCACTCAGTAGCTTTGTTTTGATTAAGTGCAGCATTAAGTGCAGCAGATTAAGTACACATGCACTGCATAAAATTCGAACATAGTGGAAGTCGTTGAAGATAAAGAGCCTTCAGTCATGATCCTTATGCTGGCATGAAACCTGTTTGGTATGGCATGATGGGCGAACAGAGCAGAGTGCATTTTTCAGCTTATTTATTTCAGCTAACTGTTGGGGATATTCTTTGCAATCTCGTGAAAGATTTCACTGTACACTGAAACGTCATTGTTACAAAGTTGCATCTTGCACGGAAAAAGTTTGTTATAAGGGTACATTCCTAACGCTGTAGCTACTACGAGACTATTCTTTAGTTTTTTTGTTATAACCAGTATTTTATTGTATCCGGGTTCGCTATATTGATGTTTGAGTGTATTTTGAAAAAGGGGTGGTATGTTGCAATGATGACATATTTGAAAGGGGAAAAAAACATGTACTACAAGCACTACAATGCATCAGCTGCTTTCTATCATGTCATTCTTGAGGCTGTCTATTTTCCCATACTTTCATGTCATTATTTTCCAATTTATTACTTTCGCATTATAGTACGTTGTCATTGAGATAACAAAAACGGACATTTCCTGTTCTGTCAGGCCTGGCGGAACGTCGGTTATGCAGCTGCTTTCATCCGGCATCTGCCCACCAGACAACTGGGCTGAGCCCTTTTCGAGCCAGCTGAACCTGTTTTGCAGCCTGCTTGCCCACCTGCTGCTAACACTGCACGACATAGAGTTCTACGAGTCTCGTGAGTCTGTCCTTCTGTAGCACAGTGGACTAATAAAACTCTCTTATATGACTGTTAATGTCTTGGTGAATGATACTCCTGCCAAAAGAAACACATTTTGCTGGTCTCTTCGGGTTTCGTTCAACAGGAGTTTTCTGTAGTTACTTTGAGCGAAGCTGTGCATTTTGTTTGGTTGTGTCCGAGGCAACCATGAACGCGTCGCAAATTGTGGAGTCTTCCAGTGAACGTCACTTGTCGCAGCGATGTGATCAGTCGCGGCATGGGCCGCTGTCTTGCTTTGAAGTTGTGGAATAGTCGTTCGATGAGCATGAAATATCAAACGTGCCAGAAACTTTTGAGTGTTGGGTAGCGTGCCAGTTAGCTTGTACTGGTTAGCGTCCCTGCCTTTCCCACCGCTCTCTCTCTCGCCTCTCTCCTAACGAGCCTTGACCTCTGTCTGTGCAGTGTAGCTGCGGGCGACCCCATGCCCTTCTCGCTGGACGAACTGGTGTTGCTGATCGCGCAGCTGCGAGAGCTCTGCCTGGGTCTGCTGGAGCTGTGCTTTCCCGACACTCGAACGAGCCTGACGCCCCAGCAGCTGAAGTACCTGAAGACTCTCTGGAGGCCCATGTTCGAGGTGAGGGAAAGCCTATTTCATGGAGGTTGCTGCCTTTAGCTAGCAAATTTCTGCATTGGTCAGCCACACAACCACAGCTGCTGCAGTGACAATGAGTCCTGGGGCTTTCAGTTTCACCTGCTTCTCTTTCAAAAGAAAAGAAAATAAAGCTTGATTGATTGATTTATTGAGCTATGCAGAAAAACCACCCTCCGTTTTTGCAGATGACATGACTAGCTTGTCGCTAAGCGTGTATTCACACTATGAACTTCTCTGCGGACATCTCTTCCGCAGGCGATCATTCTGCCACCCGTCTGGCTACCAAGCACATCGAGACGGCAAACGAGGCGCGCTGAAGAAGAAAAAAACATGGCGGCACCGTTTGAAGCGAGAGCCGCCTGCTTTCAGCTCTTTGTGCATATTGCGTGGGCTGTTAGTCCCAAACTGTTGATTGTGTTAGCTTTAGGTTTGTGTCCGCAAGCTTTACCAGCAATGTATTCATGACAGTTTAATACAGTTGCCGAGCGCTGCACTCGTTTTTGAGAGCTGTAGGCTTAGCAAATGCCTCTATTTACAGAACATGAGCTAATGATCTGCGATAGTGCGGGGTATCTCAGAGGTTATAATAATGTGTGAGTGCGTGCTTGTTCTTTTTTATCTAGATGGCAGGAGCAGTCTGAAAGCCCAAATCACATTCACGCTAGTAAATGTATTGAAGGTTTCTATGTTTCCGTCTTTGTCACAGAGTTTTTTCTAAGTTGAAGACATAGTTTGAAAGTAAGCCACGTCAGAATTAGATTATGGAGCGCTCTCCTTTCCTGCTAAAAGGCCTTGTTCGCAAAAGGACTACATTGCTAACAAGCATCTGGGTATGCAACACCAACTGTACCATGAGCTTTTGATTAGTGCCACGAAAGAATACAGGAGGCTGCTGGCGGGCTTCCGTCGTTATTGATCTCCCATCCATGAAAGCGAATTTCGTATTACGCACGCTGATCTTTGTTCAGCACTTGAGTGCGATCTATTGCACGTCAGATCTTCATGTCTTGAACACACTTCCCACGACAACATAACGAATGGCAGGCTAAGCCCCATCTGCAGTCGGTTGCGTTTCGGTAGCTGGTCGTTTGCTAAATTGCAGTTTAGTACAAAATCAACGAAACTCTTTGTGGTCGCTCCACTTGACGGCAAGGGATACACATTGTAAATGAAAACGAGGGTGGCACTTGAATGGTGGTTGACATCTTTCAGTGCGCGAAATTCCGGGTGTGATTCGACATAGCTTCTGTGTGATGTGTATAACCGAGATGGTCTGAATAGTAATTGGGGAATTTCTGCGATGGTGCTTTCTTTTATTAGACACCCCTCCCCCTTTTCCCATTCGTTTCGTTGGCAACACGTGTCTTTGGACGGTGATTTTTTTTAATATTCAGAAATTTAAATAGTTGTAGGCACTATGGATCGATCGCTTGCTTCGAATCTTGGACATGCGAGGCTGCATGCTCAACTTTTTTTGCACAAGTGGTACCCTTGAAAAAGGTTGTTTTGGTTATAGTTTGGTACCACATAAAGTGTAGATATTCGGGACTCCCACTACTTGCGTACATTCATCATCATCATCATCAGCCTGACTACGTCCACTGCAGGACAAAGGCCTCTCCCATGTTTCGCCAGTTACCCCGGTCCTGTGCTTGCTGCTGCCAATTTATACCCGCAAACTTCTTAATCTCATCTGCCCACCTAACCTTCTGTCCCCTTAACCCGCTTCCCTTCTCTGGGAATCCAGTTAGTTACCCTTAATGACCAGCGGTTATCCTGTCTACGCGCTACATGCCCGGCCCATGTCCATTTCCTCTTCTTTATTGCGTACATTATAAGTGGTCTATACTGTATAACGAACTCGTATACAGTGTAACCTCATTACAACATAACTCCTTAGTGAAGAGAATTTTGGTGTGTTGTAAAAATAGTATATAAAATCCAAGCACTGTATCAACAGACTTTTATGTAAACACTCAATGGGTCTGTTATAATCAAGATAATTACTAGTCATAAACAGATTTACTCTCAACAGGGGCATAAAAGAATTGATTTTTTGAAAATCATCTTTACATTCAGTTGCCCTCTTTATTTAATCTGATTCCTAAATATTGTTTCCGCGAAATATGCAGAAATGCTGTAAAAAAATTTTGCGCCTGCTGAGGTTGGGGAAATTATTGCAGAAGTAACAAGAAGAACAAAAAAAAAAGGCGTTCTTAAAAAAATTATACCTTCATAACGGCACGATTGTGAAAGTTGTACTACCTAGTGACATTCTCACACTTGTTTTGTGTTCGCGGGATGCGATGTAGTTAAAGCAGCTGCAAACGAAAGTTCAGTTATCAGATTACGATAGTGCGCTGAACTCGTGAACATTGCAGACATGCGTCTTGGGCCCACTGTAATGTCTCGTTGCAACCGTTGCTTATCAGTACTTGGACCTTGGTACGAAAACCGCTGCCGGAAAACCACGGTGGGACAATCGAGCATGACGTACTTTTAGAACATTGGGCGCTGTGGCCACACACATCGCAACCGAGATTATTGCTCAGAGTCGTGATTAGGCCTAACTTCGCTCCGATTTTTGTAGGCGAGACCATTACGTTAGCGGACATGCGAAAGTTGTGAAGCCATACTGTGGTTCGTCAAAAGTGACAAATTAAATGGTCTGCTGGCTCCTTAAAACTGCGGATGGCCATATTGCGCGAACCTCGAAACGGCGAACTTCCGGGCGAACCTCCAGGCGACCCTCCGGGCTAGCTCGGTATGCAGCGACCACTCGAAGCAGCGGCTAGCAATTTCGAGCGTTGGCGCTGCAAAACGCAAAGCCAAGCACCATGCGCACCGATTTTTTTTTTGTAACCTTGAGTAGCCATAACTGAAGTTTAATTGACCGCAGATAGGCGGCCTTCGTTCTTAAATCAGTACGTCGATACCCGCTGTGCGCCGTTCCTGTCTTGAAAGTATGCCGATCGGAAGTTATTGAATTTGGGACGTACGCGGTTGAAAAGTCTGCTGTAGAGGAGCCCTGACCACCTTGCTGGCCCCACATTTTAGTCAATTAAATTCGAATGTTTGTTGTACCAGAATTCGTAGTAAATGAAGCTCAATCAATGGAATAAATAGGGTGTGCCGGCATATCGACGCCGATTGGTATGTTGTATCCGAAAGTCTTTTGTAAGCAGATACGTGGTAATGAGGTCATACTGTATAACAAAATATTGCTTGTAACGAAGTAAATGAAAAATAGTCTTGTAAGGTATATAGTGTTGGGAATATATCTATATAATGGATTTTTAGGTATAACAAACCTATTTTCCCGTGAGATGCAGCTTTTCTATAATGTGGTTTGAATATACCTGTAGTGTTCACTTTCATCACGAGTCTACAATATGCACAGTGTTCTTTCTTTAAGTGCGTGATGGTAACAGGTACGAGAAGCCCAAGAGCAATCCTGAACCTTGCTTTCACCATCAATGCTTTAATCCCCTTTGTGTAAAACTGCCACTTTTTTAGTGCAGTGCATAATCATTGCATGGTTGAGAGGCATTGTTTCATGTTGCTCGCTCACTCATTTGCAGTGCGTGGTCTCACTGCTACGACAGCTGTACTCTCGGGACTCGAGGCGGCCCTTCTGCCCCGACGGCCACTGGGTTTCACCTCGGTCGGCTGTTCTTCCAGAACGAGTGAGCAGCTTTCTTCACCCTCGATACCCGCCATCGCAGATCATGCTGGGTGGTCTGTCGCACAAATCTTTTAGCTTTGGTCTGGTTGATCAGTATCACAAGAGGCAGCTTGTCGGCCAAGTAACATATTTACATGATTGTAGATCTAAATCATTTTGTGTAAATTCGAAATACACAGTTGGGGGTTGACTTACAATTAAAATCGAAATTAGTTGGGCCAGCTAAGGCAGGACAAACAAGGAATCGGGACACTGTGACATGATTGTCGTATTACATTTCAGTTCTTGCTGTAACTGTAATATATACCGTGTTTTTTTTTTATGTATAATATGCACATTCAGCAATGATTTGAAAAAACAAACAAAAACATTAGAATTAATTCTTTACCTCTCCTCGTGTTGCCGTGAAGCAAACCTCTCCGCCTAGCTGTGAAGAATTGTGAAGTCATTTTTGTGCATAGGCATTGTGTTTTTTGTAGGCTTGTGTGAATTGTGAATGTCAAGGTCGAAGCAAGCTTGAAGCAAATAGTGATTTTGGTTTAATCATTTTGAATCGAATTTGAATGCTAAATATCACATATTGATTGATATGTGTGGTTTAACGTCCCAAAACCACCATATGATTATGAGAGACGCTGTAGTGGAGGGCTCCGAAAATTTCGACCACCTAGGGTTCTTTAACGTGCACCCATATCTGAGCACACGGGCCTACAACATTTCCGCCTCCATCAGAAATGCAGTAAATATCATATATGAATAAAGTGAAATGGGCATATTTGTCATGACCCAACTAACCTGCACAATATTTCTTGAAAATTGACAAGGCCTGTGTAAATGCAATTCTTTCAGGTTCAAAGGAGGTAGAAAAAACTTTGAATAGTAGAAAAATTTGACTTTGATAGAAGCAAAGTGATAACCTGCAAAAAATATTGTTTTAAAATTTACTAAACTTAGAGCATGTAAGTTTTTAACCACAAAAACTGATGATTCAATGTGAGAGTAATATGTTCATATAACCTTGAGTTGGAACTTCGCAACAATGCGAATTTTTATATATTTTTTTAAATAGGTGCATTGGTGGCTTACCACTTCATTGCAGTGAAACCACCTTTCCAAGAACACTCAATAGATGCTTTCAATGTCACTGTGAGTGGTTCAACAACTCAGTTTTAGTCTGGGTAAACCGGACAGGTCGTGCTATCTAGCAGGGCCCAATTGAACCAAGCACGCCTGCAATCTTGAAGGTCATGCTAAGAACTGTTCAATAGCCATTGTGGCTGCTGTGGCTCCCGTTACTTTTCCTCTGCTGTTACTATAGTGTCGGCGGTAGCGCATTAAAGTCGGGCAGCAGAGACGTTAGACGTTTAGTTGAGGCAGGTAATTTGAAGTGGGCGAACCTGATGCGGACCACTAAAACGTGATTATATTTCTTAATAAGCCCTTTCTTGGCACAAAAGTAACACTACGAGGTTTCTGGACCGCAAATTCCGCAAATATCATAAAACTAATAGTTAATAATTGCTCTTAGTGTCCCTTTAGATAGATGTTTTCATGGCTTAGCACTCCTTCACTGCAGTGAAACAACCTTTCTAAAGGTAGTTGTCTTCACGGCTTAGCGCTTCTTCACTGCAGTGAAACTATTTTTATAAGGGGTTGCATGCAAAGTAACGTACACCTATTTGTTTCATTTGAATACTCTGAAATTTTCAACAATTTAAATTCGAATTAAAGCGAATTCTAATACATTGATATTTGTTCAAATATTCAAAGCATTGGAAGTCCAAGAAATTTGCAGTTGTTAAGCTGTAACTTCTAGCAAGGATTAGTCTCTCATCACTTTTCATTCCCCCTCCCTCTATAGCATCCGTTAAATGGAGTGACATGTTTACGACAAGCTGTCAGGCTGTTACAACGTCTTAGTTAAATGCACACAGGCTAGTTTGGCACGTGTGCACGTGTACCGGGAGCTGGGCTTTTCCAATGTCACCCTACTTGCCAAGAGAATTCTGTGAACTTTGATTGTCTGGAATCATTGGACGTGTGCAAAATGTCAGCGTTGGGTGTAAAATGTAGGCATTGTGCGTTCGTGACCATGTTTGGGCACCGTTTAGACTGTGCCCTCTCCACGTGCAGTGTGTGGTGTCTTTTCCTGCCTTTGTAGGTGGACCACCGAGACCATCGAGCAACGTATTGTCTGAAGCTGCGGAATGTGGCGCTATAGAAACGGGAGACCTTTTTTATATTTTCAGTTCTGCAGTTCTTCAACGAACTCTTACTCATTTAATCACCTCCTTTCGACTTCTGAGTTACTAATCATGTCAATAAATTTTTGTCGTTCTTACAAGCGCCTCATCTGTCTTCTTGGACGATGGGTCCTAGGACGGGGGCCCGCTACCAGACTGAGACATGCAGGTCCTAGAGTTGCAACAATTGTCACTACAGTGATTACACAAATAAATCTGCTTTATCAGAAGCGCACCTAGTTTTTTTGTTTGTTTTGCCATGCCAATTGGGGGATCAACCCACATTTCAGTCTACTTACTATCGTGCAAGTACGGTAGCCACCTATTGTGTTGTTACTCGCATGCGCTTTATTGCGTACAGGCAGTGTGACTTGTCTAGGCCTGTGTGAATATTCGGTCACTTTGAATTCGAAAAAGTTTTGCAGTAACATTCACAGGAATATTGCAGTACAGCAAAAGCACGGTAATGCGTATTTCACGGGACCCCCATAAAATGTCTATATTATCAAAGCCGAACGAAATCTTAAATGGCAATCAAGCTTTTCCTGTAAGCCCTGACCGATGCTTGTGACCCGCTGAGTTAAATCCAAATACGCATGCAGCATTGTGGCTTTGCTATCACTGTGTGGTTTGCGCTGGTGATGATGGCGATGTGGGCTGAGCTGCTATCTTTACGCTTTCTGCAAAACCCACTTTCCCTCTTTCAGTCACACTCGGTGCTCTCTGGCAATCAGCCTAATTAATGGACAAATTAGCAGTGGTCTGATGCCATTGATCCATACATATGCTTGTCAGGTCTGGAGAACAATTTTGGATGATCTGATTATCCGAATCAACGAGTGTGTATTTCATTCAAGTTTGCTTTGACACGAATGTACAATTTTCTAAATTTTTATTTATTCGTCCCAGTGAATGACCATGTTTTTACCGCTGGTAATATAGCTGAAAATCCGCTTTAAAGGCAGCGTGGGTCCACTTTGCCGTGAAATTGTCTGTTCAGAGAAAATGCACACAGCTGCTACTAAACCCCACCGATCAAGGTTAATACTTGTTACCTGCACGTTGGTTTCATTTTTCTAAAGTTTAAAAGCGTGTTATACTGGCTTATATGAGATAAGCATAGTGAATTAGAAAAAGGGGCGTATTTCACCGCTTGTAACAACTTTCACCTTGTTGAAATTCAAATTGGGCTCATTCGAAGTCACTTTGAGATTATACAACACTAATTACCATTCACCTCAACTTTGCTTCAAACCGATAAGGGAGTTTTATACAAGATTAGATTTGTCACCAGAAGTAATGCCACAAGTATGATCCCAACCAATGCAGTAAAGATTGGTGGTTTTGTATGGTTACGTATAAAAAAATACGAAGAACAAAAATGACCGACAAGAACAATGCAAGTGCCAACTATTGTGTCCGTGTTTTCCCTGCTGAATTCATCGCAACTTGCTCGGTTGTTCTAAAGGTTCCTGTGCATCCGTTAAAGAATTGTGTTCAAAGTAAGACATTGAATTGCCAATTCTTTATTGCTGTTCACATTTCTCGTACTGATTTCTACGTTTTCGTGGGTTTTTCACAGGTGGCAAACTGGAACCTGGAAATTCAACGGCTACCTACGTGTGGTGCTGCAGGGTTGACACGAAAACAGCTAGGTGCGTGACCTAATGTACAGTACTTGTGGGGGCTCTGATGGAACATCAAATTTTTTAGTCTAAGAACCGGTATATGCTATTGCCACAGGTTGGCGAACTCTGACTCAGATTGAGCCGTGAGTCTGAGTGAGTGCGGTTGAGTAATATTTTGGTTAGTTTGTGTCCGTATGGGTGTGGTTGAAAAAACTTTTTGTGAGTATGAGTCCGAAAGAGTTTGGCTAGGGAAAATTTTGGCAAGTCTCAGTCCGAGTGAGCCCAAAGCACAGGATATGTTTCTTGAGTGAGTGTGAGCGAGTTCCACTTTTTTTATAAGTGACCGAAAGGTAAAGTGTGAGGTGCGCACCAGTCGCGGCAGCTGCTCCGGCATACCAACTTTTCCTGTGAGCGCTTGTGTGCCCGTTGGTGGCACTGGTGGGCTTTAAAACAGTCTCTTGAAACATGCTGTAATATGTGTTGTGCAATTGCGTGGGGTCCTGACTACTGAAGAGAGAGAGAGAAAAAAAAAGGAGTCAAAATTTTCTGCAAATCATACATTCTGCTGCCACTTTGCACACTCACACGAAAAATGGCAGACATGGCTATTGCACAAACGGTTATAAGTTCGACTTTTTCTTATATCTTTAGTGTGTCTAAAACTTAAATTTTATATAAACGATCATCCATATGGTCCTCAGAAAATGAAACATGACATTATTTATTAAGTATAATGGCTGCCATGCGTGATTTCTCGGGATCGTTGTATCATGTTGCTATAAAACTGGCTGCTAAAAAAAAACATCAAGTCTGATGTAAATGGTCAAGCCAATTTACGCCAATATATAAGTATATACAGACGGGTTCACAGTTAAAGGGAACACTTTAACTGTGAACCACGTGCACCGTGTCTAGATTTCGCTCTCTGGCAAAAGGCAAAGTGGCCTAGATTTGCCGAAGGCTGCTGCTGGTTGACTGTTCTGACTACTTTTGATGGACCAGTGCCGTGCAGGAACAATGTTTCTGCGTCTACTTGCAGTTGTGAGGCCCGCAATATCACAGGTGCTTATAGGAGTGTTCCCTTTAACAGTGGATGGAACTGTACATATCTTAGCCCTAAACTGCCTCATTACAGTTCTTGAGGGCCCTACGTGCTTTTGCTACGTGCTTAACACTTGTGGCTTCGCAGAGGAAAGTGGGCCGCCTTTGACAACTAGCGAGCTTCGCGGTGCAGCGATCCTCCAGGAGATGCCCTTTGCCGTGCCGTTCCTGTCCGTGTTCGGGTGAGTTGAATGACGATATAGTGGGTGCTGTTGCGAAGCATGTGAAGAAGGTGGGGGGGGGGGGGGGACATGGCGTGTGGGGGAGTCGGAGAGCAGGACTGAAGGAGCCGATGTGCTCCTCCTTTTGCCTTTTACTTTTATTTTTGTTGCTCTTTTGCGAGGTTTGGTCAGCCAACCACAGCTCGCGCCTTTTGTTGTTGCCCTCGCAGGTAGCCGTCGCCTCGCGAGCGCTTTGTTGCTCTCGAGCTGTCGCGTCACCTGCGTACCACAGCATGTGCATCATTTCACTTTTGCATGCGTGGTGTGCAAAGCCGCTGCATAGCTATGGCCAGCATCAAGAAGCGCAAGATCCTTGACTTAACGACGAAGTTGAAGGCTATTCAGCATGTTGAGGAGGGCAAGAAATGTTTGACCGTCGAGGACAACTTCGGAATACCACGGAGCACTGAGTACTTTGTTGGAAAACAAGGCAGATATCAAGGCAAAGGCGGTGGAGCTGCAAACGTTGGGAGCCTGTCACTGCACGCTTCTGCCCACGATAATGTAGAAAAGGCACTCTATCCCTGATTTTTAGAAGTCCGTGCGAAGAATGTTCCGGTGGATGGCCCGACGCTGATTGCCAAGGCCAAATGGTCTGCCGCTGCACTTGGTGAAACAACTTCGCCAACAACAGTGGATGGTTTAACCGATTTAAGCAGTGCTACAACATCGCTTGCAAAGCTATTTCTGGTGGAAGCAAAGCTGTCAGTAGCCAGGACATCTAGCAGTGGATGAGGAAGGAGTGGCCGCAAATCTCCGCGAAGTTTTCTCCCGTGGGAGATATTCAATGCCTGCCGAAACGTGAAGACGGACACAGTGGTCAACTGCGTCCGCAAGGCAGGCGTCGAGGTGGCGGAACTTGTGGAAATCGGTGAAGATGACGACGGGCGCATAGACAACGCGTTTCGCGAATTGTGATAAGATCGACACTAGCGTCTTCAACATTTCAAAAATGAAGAAGCAGGCCAAGGTTAGCGATGTTTTTTTCTCGCAAACAAAACATTCTGTTGCAGCGTGTGTGTGGAATTAGTTGTAATTCTTGAATGCACCTATTGTGGTGATGATCTGCTACAGGCAAGCTGTCGGGGCCTCAGTTTTTTTTATATCGAATTTTTCATATATGGAACTAATTTGGGATCCAGTTTGAGTTAGATATATTCGTGTTCGACTGTATACTACTCACTAAGGGGAACTTCTGTATATGGTTCTTTTGCTCTGAAGTGATGGGATAATGTATTATTGGCAAGGGTTTCGCGCAATGCAAGCCACCGTGGTTATAGCACACTACACTTGTGCTCACTGCCTGTCAGCATGTCATGATTCTTACAGTAGCATCCCCTTTAGGGCTGATGGTATCTGTCTATTAATAATTTAGTTCAGTCACACTTGTGTCCTTGAAACGGTGAAATTTGTGCACTGCTACATAGTGAGGTCACCACTTTCAGTTCTTTGGCAAGTTCGGTGAAGATGTAAAGACCGTGGGAGACTTCTGTCAAGCTTCATAAAGGCAAAAAAACTGTCGTTCACTTGTCTTTTATGGGAAACAGCAATGAACATTCATACAGATTTTGCAGAAAAGGAAGATTTTTAAGTTGACGAAAAATTCGTCCAGGACTGAGATTGAAGAACTGTTAGGCTTTCACGGAACTGGTCTGGTTGGAGACAGGCATTATAGTGTGATTATTCTGGTGCTAATTCTGGTGCACCTGCATATATTGAATCTAAAAGACATCACAGAAAAGCTCTGTATATCGTGTTTGTGAGGGGCAAAATAGAACAGCCAGTCCAGCATGTGGGTGTTGTCTGTGGCTCATCCTTTACAATATAGTAGTAATGCAATATATGCTACAGTCTTCGACTGATAGATCGGCAACTGATAATTTAGACGTTGCTCGGCAATTCGGACAGCTGTGCAGCACTGCCAATCGCCCCATAGAACTAATCTGTAAAGATGACCGATAATTCCGACAGTTGCCATATCTGCATTCCATTATCCTGACTATATCCAGGTGCGCACACCGAATCGGCAGGCATTATCGTCTCTGGTACCCATACCATGCAAAGTATGGCCTCAGAGATGAAAAACGAAAGCGAACTGGTGATCTGTGAGGCTTTACTTCGATTTATTCACAACTTAAAATAGCAAATGTTGATCTGGGAGGCACTGCTCAACTGGGGGAGGTCATACCCACATCGCGAACATCCTATGTTCAAGTTCCGGTATTCCCTCGCTGTTATGGCGCTGTACTGGTCTGCGGTTCTGCATTCTGTTGGATTCCGCACATGTTCGTTTTTGTGTTCAGACCTGCTTTGTTTTGCGTTACCTTGTCCCAATAGGTCTGTGTTAAATGGCGCCAATGGTGCCCTCACAGCCAGGGCCAAAGGCCGGGCCAACGACGCCTAAACGCGGCAGACATATGCAATGCTAATCATGGCAAGGAAAACAGTCGTCATTCTGCAAGAGCTCAAAGGTCGTCCGAAAGTCAAAGTTGCCAGAGAGTTTAATGTTTCGAGAGTTCAAGAACCCGACAGTGCAGCTGAAGAGCTGTACCTGCCGCCCCGGGCAATGAGCTTAAATGCGCACGTTATTGACGATCTGCGAGGCTGCGGTGGGCTGATTCCTGATGCAGTTACGTTTGAAGGCTTCCCAAACGTCGACAGTGCTGTGTCGTGTGCTGAATTGAACGACGACATAATTGAGCAGGTTCTGCAATGATTCTGAAATAGTAAGGAGAATTGGGCGAGTTGGTTTGAGGACATTCTTGGAAACATTCCGGCGCACACACAGTGGACGGAAAATTGAAAGGGGGGAAGGTCACACCTGTTTGTCTTCTCGCTTTTCATTTTCCCATCAACTTTGTGCGTGCCTAAATGTTTCCAAGAGATTCTGATTTTGAAGGTGACAACGCACCGTGTGCCCTGGAGCCGTCGCATGCGGGCCCGTCTAGAGCCCTCGCAATTCTTTCGTCGTCCTACCCGTGGTCCTACAGCGAGCATATCACACTAGCGGAAATACAGACAGACTTGGTTGAACATGAACGGTAGTATGTGCAGTGATGCTTTGACAGGTTTTACCAGCCACAGCGTCTCTGAAGCGTCAATAAGTTTTTTTTCTGACGCATTAGTTTTTCAGACACTCGATAATTCAGACTTACCATATTTTTCAGTGTATAGGACGCATATGTGTATAAGATGCACCCCCCACTTTTAGAAAGTTTTCATGCAAAAATGGATATAGTAAGACGCTCTGGTTTATAAAACGCACCTGCAATTACTTGCTTTCCTTTCCTCAAAGAAACTTCATAATGTGTGGTTAGCGAGCATTGTAAAATGCCGTACTTTTGTTTCTGAGGGCTAGTCTGTAAGAAAACTTATACAACTCCAAATTTGCAAGAAAAAATTATGCACACCAACCCAAATGTCCCACGTGACTGCAGGAAACACACTTGATTTTGTTTGAAGCCCTCAAAGTCCTTGTCTTCCAACGGGCTTTGGAATTGCTCAGAGAGATTTTGCGGCAGCATTCTGCTTCCTTTTTGGAATCGCTGCTGCTGCTGTCGTCATCGAGGTCAGGGGCTGAGGATGCTAGCAGGCCTGCCTCGCCGAACCGTGCAGTTACAGTGACCTGTGACACCGCGCATCAGGCTTCGCGCACCCAGTTCGCGACTTCGCAAAACGAAGCACGCCTCATGCGTTCGGTTGAAGTGTAGCTGTGCTTGCCGTCGGACATCCACGACTCCTAGAGGCGCCGCAGAATAGCCTTGAACTGCGGTTCACCAAGATGTCCAGCGGCTGAAGCATTTTTGTCATCACGTCTGGGATAACTGCAGGGGTGCAGTTATTTTGCCTTGATGCATTTCAGAGTCAGCTTTGTTATATGCACCCGCATACTATGAAAGACCAGGAGGCCTTTCTTCCCATGAAAGAAACCATCCAGTCGCTTAAAAAAGCATTCCTCGAGCCACATGTCCATCATGTCTTCGTCCATCCAGCCTTTCATGTTCATTTCTATGACGACGCCAAACGAGATGTCCTCTTCCAGCATCGTCTTCTGCTCAAACAGTATTAGCATTGGGAGAAGCTTTTGCTCGTGAGCGCAACACGTGAGCACCACCGTTAAAGGGACACTAAAGGCAACTACTAAGTCTGTGTTGATTATTGAAATAGGGATCCAGAAACATCGTAGTGTTACTTTTGTACCAAGGAAGGGCCAATTCTGAAACAAAATTACGTTTTAGTGGTCCGCATCGGGTTAGCGCACTTCAAATTACCTGCCTCAAGAAGCGAACCGGTTGGACCGACACACGTCACAGTTGCCGTGCGCAACGTTGCTTGGTTTTACTGCGCTAGTAGCAGCAGACCGAAAGCAGCGGTAGCCACAGCAGCAACAATGGCCATTGATCAATTTCCCGCCATTGGCTGCGAGATTGCAGACATTTTTTTTTTTTTCATTTAACTGTGCTCCGCTGGATGACACCACATGTTCCGTGTAACCACGCGAAAATTGAATTTGGCCTGAAACTTGGCAGCTGACTGCCTCCGTGATCGGATCATCTTTTTGGTGACGCCGAAATGGCGACCTGTGGTTGGTTTCTTATACTTCTCTGCATACTTCACAGTCGTAAGTGTAATCTTTGTCGTGTAGCTTTTCTGTGTAGCCGGCATACTGCAGTTAAAGATAACAAAAGCGCGGACCAACCGAACGATTAAGGTTGCAATTGGCGACTGGCCCAACTCGCGGAACGACAGCTGCTAGCATGGTGGCCAAAGTCGAGCCGTACTGATTAACGCACCGATTGTTATCTTACGCCAATTTCACTGAATTCAGTCTGCGAAACTTCTGCAGCATAGCGACATTACATACTTTTGTTTTTGTTGAGGAACCGTAGTATCGGCACGTTGAGTCTTCGTTCTTATAATTATGACGCATCATTCGCATCAGATTGCTGTAGTAGTTTAAAAAAGGGCTAATCATTCTCCCCAAAAAACTAAAAAAAATACATGTAAGATGCTTCATTCTAAAAATGCACCTTGAGAACTTTGGAAAAAAAAACAGTGCGTGTTATACACCGGAATCTGCAGTATGTACGTTCATCAGGAAGTTCGAATTGTTGGTTATCTGCTGTACAATGTTTGATGTATCGAACATGTATTCAAAGGAATTTTATGTCTGTTCGATATACACAATAATTGGTGTAATTGGGTTCAGTATGTAGAGATACAACTGTAATTGTCCCGATTGCAATGGTTCTGTGTGCCACTTTGCAGATACTACAGAGCCTGATAGCACGCGACAAGTCTGAGAACCATCGGCAGTCCGACTTCATGCTGGGCCCCCAGATAGAGGTCATCGTGCGGAGGAACTACATCTATGAAGACGCCTTTAAGAAGCTCTCTGGCGAACCCAACCTGAGGCTACGGCTGCGCGTTCAGCTCGTCAATGTCGCCGGTCTCGAGGAAGCGGGCATTGATGGTGAGAGGACACAGCCGCGGTGGCACCACCTGATAATGTTTAAACCTGGGTGCGAGAAAGCGCTGCACCTACTATTGTAACACTTGGGTTTGCTCCTGTAAATTCTTTTTGCAGAACGCTGTAGCAATGCTTCACACAAGGCAGGTGTGTGTCTAATTACTGAGGGTAGACATAGCTGAATATTGGAGTACTTTTAATATTCAGATGAATACTGTGCTGTTAGAATTCGCTTTGACCATATCTTAAAATTTTGAATTACTTGAAGTGAATGATATGCTTATTGCATGTAACCCCAGTTTTTTGAAAAGGCGCTGCTGTGTGCAGCTGCCCTACGTGAAACTGCCTTTTTTGGAAAAAGCTGCGCTGCTGTGAAGCAATGAAGTTAAATGTACATATTATCTGCACCATTTTAAAACTTGTTATATAGGCCTATGTGCGTTAAGGTAAGCAAATTTTAAAACAATGCACATTACCACTCATGACTTGGCCCTACTACATATATTCTATTCAAAGTCGCTTTAATTTTATTTGGAAAATAAGAAAAAAAGGCACATTGGCAAAAGCCTAGTTTTAATTCTTAAAAATTTTGTGCATGTCAGATGCATCATGGATATGGTAATTGTACCCCTGTTTTGTTTATGTTGCATATTTTGTTCGGTGCGAAATTATTTGCTCGTCACTACATGCTTCGAATTCGTGTTGAACCTCGAGTTTACTGTTTGCCCATTCCTGAGCAGGAACCGTCAGAGTGTGTTCAGGCTGCTGTGCAGATATCTTTGCCATGCTTGACAGGACAGGAACTGTTGCCATCTGGTAGCAGCGGCAAAAAATTTAACAACATACTTGGGCATGGTTTAGCCTCTGAGGCTGCAGCAGTGCACTGACACACGGTCACTCGTGGCTAGTCCGTTGTGTTCTCTTTTTTTCACTGTCGACCTGCAACCTTTGGTATACGTAGTTTGGCTACCGTAGTCGCATTGGAGGCAGGCAGTTTGTTTTGTTAGCGACGGTCAGACATAGAAAGGTAAATGTCCAGTTTAAAGCAACAAAGGCACCAGACATGTTAAGGCACAGGTTATCAAACAGTGTGATTTCACTTAACTGATGCAGCGAAGCAGTTTGAATCAAGCGACAATAAAATACATTGAGAACATGGTGAGTGTACTGAAAATTTGAAATTTGTTTGAAATAACCAAAGTTCTTATTATCAGTTTCAATTATTCCAAATATATTGTACTAGCTAATTGTACTGTAATATATACAGTTAAACCCCCTTTATAAGAGACATGCACAGGGCAGCAATTCTCCTCTTTTATATGAGGTGTTTCTCGTAAGCAAAGTACCACGTATGCTCCTCTTATGAATTCTCTATTTCAGTGTAGGCACACTGGTGTCTCTTATACCGACTTAGTCTCTTATGTCTCCAATAAAGGGGGTTGACTGTATATGTATATCCAAATATTAGATTTACTTTGTTGTGCTTGATAATTCCTCATGCGTGCATGTTGTGGATTCACTGTGTGCCAACCAGCGGTCGTCAACCGAATGACTTTTGTGTTGAGCGTACATATCGTACCCACTCTTTTTTCCTTGCCATGTGAGGGGGACTGATCAGTTAATATAGAGTTCATTCCCACCCAATCAGGTGGAGGCCTACTACGAGAGTTCCTCGCTGAGCTCATGAAAACGGCCTTTGATGAGAACAGGGGCCTGTTCCGGTGTACGCACGATGACCGACACCTCTACCCAAACCCGGCGGTCGCAGAGCTGCCAGACTATGCTGACGGTCGAGCGAAGCGCCACTACGCCTTCGTCGGCCGTCTGCTCGGCAAGGTTGGCTTTTTGTTTAGAAGTTTGATGATTATCGTTGGGACATAATGAAGTGCAGCCGTCCTAATATAAGAGGGCCACAGGATTGTAGGTCGGCAAACATAAATGGAACTCACTTGGACTTAAACTCTGGACTCACTCGTACCCACACTCACAAAAGTTTTCTTCAATCGGACTCACACCGACTGAAATATTACTCACCCGGACTCACTCAGACTCATGGCTCGATCAAACATAAATGGAACTCACTTGGACTTAAACTCTTGAAAATTTTTCCAAGCTGGACTCACTCGTACCCACACTCACTAAAGTTTCCTCCTAATGGAACCTCACTTGGACTTAAACTCTTGAAAATTTTTCCAAGCTGGACTCACTCGTACCCACACTCACTAAAGTTTTCTTCGATCAGACTCACTCAGACTCACACTGACCAAAATATTACTCACCCGGACGCACTCAGACTCATGGCTTGATCAAACATGAATGGAACTCACTTGGACTTAAACTTGCAAAAATGTTTCCAAGCTGAACTCACTCGCACCCACACTCACTAAAGTTTTCTTCGATCGGACTCACACTGACCGAAATATTACTCACCCAGACTCACTCAGACTCGTGGCTCAATCAAACATAAATGGAACTGACTTGGACTTAAACACGCGAAAATTTTTCGAAGCTAGACTCACTCGTACCCACACTCACTAAAGTTTTGTTCGATCGGACTCACTCGGACTCACACTGACCGAAATATTACTCACCCGGACTCGCTCATACTCATGGCTCAATCAAACATAAATGAAACTCACTTGGGCTTAAACTCGCGAAAATGTTTCCAAGATGGACTCACTCGTACCCACACTCACTAAAGTTTTCTTCGATAGGATTCACAATGATCGAAATATTACTCACCCGGACTCACTGAGACTCATGGCTCGATCAAACATAAATGAAACTCACTTGGGCTTAAACTCGCGAAAATGTTTCCAAGCTGGACTCACTCGTACCCACACTCACTAAAGTTTTCATCGATCGGACTCGCACTGACTGAAATATTACTCACCCAAACTTAATCAGACTCATCGCTTGACCAAACATAAATGAAACTCACTTGGACCTAAACTCCCGAATATTGTTCCAAGCTGGACTCACTCGTACCCACACTCACTAAAGTTTTCATCGATCGGACTCGCACTGACTGAAATATTACTCACCCGGACTTAATCAGACTCATGGCTTGATCAAACATAAATGAAATTCACTTGGACTTAAGCTCGCGAAAATTTTTCTAAGCTGGACTCACTCGTACCCACACTCACTAATGTTTTCATCGATCGGACTCACACTGACCGAAATATTACTCACCCGGGCTCACTCAGACTCATCGCTCGATCAAACATAAATGGAATGCACTTGGACCTAAACTCGCGAAAATTTTTCTAAGCTGGACTCACTCGTACCCACACTCACTAAAATTTTCTTCGATCGGACTCACTCGAACTCACACTGACCGAAATATTACTCACCCGGACTCACTCAGACTCAGATGATATAAGTTTCATGCAGATACTTAGGTGCATATATCGAGTGAAATAATAATGAATAATATGTAAATGTCTGTGTTTTTCAGGTGTCTGTTATATGTTGCTCACCAGATCAACTCATTTCCTGGAAATTAAAAAAAAATATGATTTGGAAATAACAGTTATAGCAGTAAGCTATAAAGTTGTAAAGTTTAAAACTGAGCACTTTCTTGCTGACCTGGAGAAAAGAACACTGCAGTAGTTCTTTAGATGATGCAATGACTTCGAATGTTTGAATGAATAATTCAGTATATGAAATTCTTTTCTGCATAAATTTCAAGTCTCTGAAATTTTCAATTGTCATTTACAACAAACAAACATAAATTACTGCATGTAACCCTCTGAAGAGGCGGCTTCAATGCATTGTGGAGCCGTTGTGCCATGAAATCAGTGTTCTAGGGAAAATCTCTAATGTGCGCAAAGCTGCCTTCAATGATAAATGAGCATAGCCTGCACCCTGATTACTATTGTTTTTGAAGTTTAAAATAGTGTGATACGAGCTTATATGTGCTTAACGTAGTAGTCTTTAATAAGTTACGCATTTTACCGCTTGGAACTTGCACCCTAATATTCAAACTGGTGAATGTGCTGTGCAGGCTCTTTATGAGGGCATGCTGGTGGAGTTGCCCCTGGCGCACTTTTTTCTGGCCAAGTTAGTGGTGCCTGGGCGTGGTGACCTCGACCTCCACCACTTGGCGTCCCTCGAGCCGCTCGTTTACCGCAACCTCTTCTTTCTCAAGACCTACGAGGGCGACGTGACCGACCTCGGGCTGGACTTCACAGTGAGTGCTCTTTAGCTGCTCGCAGTTGTCGACTGTTGGATAAGATATGCGAGAAAAAAAGAAAAAAAAAGAAGGGAGGTTGTATTTTTGTTAATTGCCGATCCTCGCATGACGATCATGTCTTGAAAAGCCGCGCAGCCTCCACAGCAGGAATAAAAAAAGTGCCATGTTAATAATAAAGTAAAAATTCTATTTCAGGAACTTGAATGTAACGAATCTGTTGTAATTAAATCAATTTAAATGTCGTTTATACTGGTACTTGGCCAATGATATGTTCAGCTGAATGTTTACACCCTCCATTTCTTTTTTTCTTTTTTCAGAAAGTGGGTTCAAAAATTGCCTATGTGTTCGAAATAAATATGATACCTACACCACGCTCACGCCAGTGTTGGTATCACAACAGCCTGCCATCAGAAGCGGTGTCGTCGGCTTAACGAGATACATTTTCTAGACATTGCTGTTAGTTAATTTATTGTTCAACTTGAATCTTTAGCGCTTTAAGTTTTCGGTAATTGTCCCTTTGGAGGAGCAGGTCATGTTGAGGCTTTTGCATATGCAGTTGACAACTGACGCAGTTTCATGTGTGCAACATGTGCGTTGCCGTTTTTACAGGTAATGAGATGCCAGCTGGGCAACAGCATAGTAGAGGAGCTGAAGCCCAACGGTACCGCAATAACGGTGACGTCAGCAAACCGCATCGAGTACATGCACCTGCTTGCGGACCATTTGCTCAACGCACAGCTGCGGCAACAGTGCCTCGCATTCCGACAGGTAGGCACTGGGTAGCATGCACCAGACACGCACTGTAGCCTTTATATGAGCTACTATAGACTCTTCATTATTCAAACTCTGATATCAGACTTTCAGTTAATTCAAACAAACCTGAAATTTTCCCCCGCAGGGGCGCCTGCGCAAGTAGGCGTTTGGTGTGTAGTGACAGCACGGACCCGAGCTAACAAGGGAGTTTTGACTCTCTCCCACGCCTAGCCGTGCATGGCTTTGCCGTGTCCGAGGAAAAGGGGATCCGGGGGGTTGAGCGGACGCTGGGTGATTGGACCTTTAAGGCCCCCCGGAAGAGGTAACACACCCCTTTGGCCCCGGCTTCACGTAGACGGCACCCCTGGGCTGACCCATACAGGGGAAATCGGCAGTCGGCTTTTCCTGTCTCTCTCCTCCCACATCTTCGTCTTTTTCTCACACTTTCTATCTTTCATGTCCTCTCCTCACTTCCGTTGACTTCCGATATTCATGGCGGCAAGGGTTAACCTTGTGTAGGTATCCCACTTGGGTTATAGTGACAGTGTACGGCTGGCGTCGGGAGGACTTGTTCAACAAGTCCAACTGCGTCCCCTTCTTGGCCTCCATGGTGGGTGGTCGCCGCTGTTACCAAACACATTCATACTTCTATGGCTTTACAAGCATCCGCTGACCTTGATCGGTCTCGTAAGAGAGGCCGCACCGAAGCAAGTTATCACTTCTCGACAGAAACCAAAGTTACTTTCACGAAGTACCACATTATCCACAGCGACAGCACACCTCTAAGAAAACTATCCCCATTTTCGGTGGCCAAGTGCCTAAAAGAAAAAATAGGACCCATATACAAAGCATACAAAATGTCAAGCGGTGACCTCCTTTTGGAGCTAACCGAAAAAGAGCAAGTGCCTAAGCTATCCCAACTAACCAGCATTGGAGAGACAGCTATCACCGTTTTGGTCCATCGCTCTCTAAACACCAGCAGGGGAGTAATCTCTGAGGAAGACTTCTTAGGCCTTATTGACGAAGAGCTCCTCGAAGGATTCCAAGACCAAAATGTCATAAAAGTCCAAAGAATAGTAATCCGTTGCAATAATCAGGAAGTGCCCGCCAAACATGTAATACTAACCTTTGGAACAAGTGAAATGCCCGCCTCTCTTAAGGCTGGGTTCATAAAAATAAACGTCAGACCCTACATTCCCAACCCCAGACACTGTTTCAAATGCCAAAAATTCGGACACGCCTCGCACTCATGTAGAGGCAAAGAAACATGCGCAAAATGCAGCACAAACGACCACAAATCGGAAAACTGCTCATCCTCACCCCACTGTGCTAACTTTGACGGGGAACACCCAGCGTATTCCCGGTCATGTTCATGTTGGAAAAAAGAAAAGGAAGTGATCGCTCTGACCGTCAAAGAAAAAATATCATTTAGCGAAGCGCAAAAACGGCTATCATACCTTTTCCACAGAAGTTACGCAGATGTGACGCAGTCGGAGCAGCGTCACAAAGGCCTCGGGAGTAGACCGCTACCACACCCAGTGGTCCTGTGGTGACTCGAACCGCCCCTTAAAGGAAGCAGCGCCAGCTGCTCCATCCACATCAAAGGACCCACAGACTTCGGTCTCCCTGGGCCCTAAACTCAATCGATTGCCAAGGCCTGAGATCCGTTTCTCAGCGCCTCACTCTCGATCTGCCAACGCCTCAGACAAGGCAATGGAGATCAACCATAAAACTCCGGTGTCATCGACACCGAAGGACAAGCGCTCTCTCGAGCGTGCCAAACAGGACAAGGACAAAGTCCCAGTAACCACAATAAGTAAGCGATAACCGTAATGGTTATCGTATTTCTCTCTATTCCTGTTTCTTAGTATTGTCACCTATCATCTTTTACTCATACTGATCAATCCCCAGAAGCATAATTACTTAACTTTATTCTGCCATGGGTTTTATCGTACATTGGAACTGTAGAGGCTTAATTCATAACTTAGGTGACATAAAGGACAGCATTAACAAATTCTCACCAGTGGGCTTTTGCCTCCAAGAGACAAATCTTGGTGCAAAACACGGCCATTTCCTAAAAGGCTTCAAAGTTGCCCGAAAGGACTGCGAACATTGCAACCGTCTTTCAGGAGGAGTAGCCGTAGTCGTGCAGGGCAGCACTCCTACGCGAGATGTCCAAATAAACACATCTTTCGAGGTCGTAGCCATCACCATCCTATCATACAAAACCATCACCATCTGCTCACTGTATATCCCACCTCACACCCTTTTCACCACCAAAAACCTGGAAAATCTAGTGGAACAGTTGCCAAAACCATTTATTTTAGTTGGGGATTTCAATGCTCATTCAACCTTTTGGGGTAGCGACAAAACAGATGCAAGAGGGCAAGCCGTGGAAGATTTCATTTTATCAAATGACATCTGCCTTCTTAATTCCGGGGCTTTTACCTACTTTTCACCAACCTCACGCACTTTTAGTTGCTTAGATCTTGCCATGTGTTCACCGTGTATTTTTAACGATTTTAAATGGGACGTCGTCAACACGTCTTATGGTAGTGATCATCAACCCGGCATCATAAAACTCATACCGTCCTACCCAACTTTAACAAGCAGGCCACGCCGGTGGAAACTGCAGCTCGCGAACTGGCCAGTTTTCACAGAAAACGCTAAGCTCGATGGTTTTCTCATCGGAGCTTTCTGTTGAGGAACTAAATGAAGAGTTTGTCAAAGTTTTAATCTTAGCAGCAGAAAAGGCTATACCCCAATCATCCGGCATCGTACGCAAGAAACTCAACCCTTGGTGGACAAACGAGTGTACTAATGCCAAAAAACAACAATATAAGGCCTGGGGAATTCTACGAAGATACCGCACCTACACCAACCTCATCAACTTCAAACAGGCAAAAGCCAGAGCTCGATTTATTCGAAGACAGACAGAAAAGAATTCATGGCAAAAATACATATCATCAATTAACAGTTCAGTCACATCTAAACACATCTGGGACCAGGTGAGGTACTTCAAGGGAGGGTACTCCTCCTACACAATACCACTGCTTACAAGTCCAGACACACAATCAACACTAGAGGACCAGGCCAACCTATTAGGAGAACACTTTTATAAGGTATCATGCTCAGCAAATTACACCAATACATTCCTGAAATATAAAGAAAATGCAGAAAGACAAAGATTGACTACTACCAGTACCTCAAATGAAAGTTATAACCTTCCGCTTACGCTGCACGAATTAAACAGGGTACTTTCTGCCGGTAAAAAAATGGCAACAGGGTCTGACCAGATACACTACGCAATGTTGGCACACCTATCCCAAGCATCCACGAAAGCACTTCTCCAATTCTTCAACAAAATATGGGACTCTGGCACAATGCCTGAATATTGGAAAAGAGCCATAGTTATACCATTCCTAAAACCTGGTAAACCCCCAACAACCCCAAGTAGCTACAGGCCCATTGCATTAACAAGTTGCCTTGCAAAAGCTTACAAAAGCGTCATAAATATTAGACTTACCTTCACTGTGGAATCGGAGCACCTAATAGGCGCACACCAGTGCGGATACAAAAAGGGCTGTTCCACCACTGATCACATTGTTAGGCTGGAACAAGAAATACGACAAGCATTTCTACACAAACAGTTCTGTCTCTTGGTCTTCTTTGACTTAGAGAAAGCATATGACACAACTTGGAGACACGGAATTCTCAGAGATCTAGCTAACTTAGAGATTCGCGGAAGAATGCTGAACTGCTTACACGATTTTTTATCGAATAGAATTTTTAAAGTACGTTTGGGTACGGTACTATCACGAATATTTGTCCAAGAAAATGGTGTACCACAGGGCTGCGTTTTGAGCACCACCCTGTTTATAGTGAAAATGAACTCCATCAACAGGGCTATACCCCATACAGTCATGCACTCCATCTATGTTGACGATCTCCAAATTGCATGCCGAGCCTCCAGCCTATCATCCTGTGAAAGGCAACTCCAAATTACAATAAATCGGCTTATGAAATGGGCCGGCCAAAATGGTTTCTGCTTTTCAGCCCAAAAAACCACGGCTGTTCTCTTTACGCAAAAAAGAGGATTGTTCCCTGAACCCACGCTCAAACTATACAACATCAACATGCCGGTAAAACAAGAACACAAATTTTCAGGAATCACACTCGACCGAAAACCAAACTTTCTACCACGCATAAACGCACTGAAAACTAAGGCAAACAAAGCACTCAACGTGCTCAAAGTACTCTCTCATAAGCACTGGGGTTCCGATCGACTCTGCCTTATACGTATTTACCGATCTCTTGTACGCAGCATTTTAGACTACGGATGCGTAGTCTACGACTCGGCGCGAAACTCATACATCCGCTGTCTTGACCCTATACACAACCTCGGTCTCCGTCTTTCCAGTGGTGCTTACAGAACATCATCTGTGCAAAGTCTATACGTAGAATGCAATGAGCCCCCTCTATGTGATCGAAGAGCATTACTAACCTTGTCATATGTTTTAAGAATAAGGTCGTCACCTGAACACATCTGCTACGAAATTGCTGCAAAATGTGACTCGCGCTCACACTACCTCAACAAACCGAACCTAATCAAACCACTTGTCTTACGTTTTGAGGAATACTGCCGCTTTTATACCATCCCTGATGGATCACTAGATGTCACTATTAAACCACCAAGACTGCCCCCATGGTTCGACCTGTCGCAGCTATGCGAATTTTCACTAAGCCGTTTTAACAAAAAAGCACCCCACCAGAACACATAATCCAAAAATTTTATACACTTCAGCATGAATATAGGGATTACGAAGAATTTTACACAGATGGCTCAAAAACGGAAAACCACGTGTGTATTGGGATTGCGACGACGAAAAGCGTAATTTCTGTGAAAGTACGTCGTAGTTTTTCCATTTTTTCAGCTGAAGCTTATGCCTCGAGTGAAGCAGTTCCGAAAATCATCGCTGAAAAATACAAGAAAGCAATCATATACATCGACTCAC